CTTTTCGGGGTCAAAATGACACATTTCTTGTTTGAAATGACTTAGAACAATGTAATTTTTGACCCGTAAAATGTAACTTTTGATCCGGCAAAGTGTCATTTTTGACCCGGAAAAGGACTGAGCAAATACAGATTTGTTCTGGGTCAATCGGACCCAGTAGTTTTTAGAGTGTAAACGTTATCAAGCAAACACAACTGCATTACTGTACGTGTATAATTGCACGATAATAACGTTGCCTCATTATAATGCAATATAGCTTATTTGGTGATTTTGCAGCGTTCCAAATAAATATGAGGGTTCTGGCTAAATGAGACAGAACTGGGCACAGGCGGTAGAAAGAGAAATGCAAAAAATTGATATGTCTATACACATGCATGTTTTAAAGAAATAGTGTAAACATCGTGGAATAAAGGTGTTTTTTATAGGAAAAACTATTGGCTTCTTTCATTTTTACGAACTCAAATTTTCGAAGGCCTTTTTCTCATATTTTACTTTTTTTGACATGTCGATCAACGCGAACTTTAAACAGCCATAACTTGCCAACGGAAGGTCCAATTGATGTGCAGCATACATTTTTGAAAGGAGAATTCTATTCGTTTTTCTTCTACCCGAAAACCCGTCATTTCGACCTCTGTAGCTCTTATATTATAATATGCCTTTAGGCTCGTACAGGCCATGACAGCCCGCGTACGGCTGTTAGGATAGGATTTGACATGTTTCCAACTATTTCCGCCTTAATTCCCGATTCCTCCATCGGGGTTGACATGCAAAGCTCACGATCAACTATTCACAGTAGTCTCCAATAACAGTCGCTCGGTCCCCCCCCCCCAATCGATGGTGCTACTGATAACTTTATTGACTGTCACACGCTGAAATGGTCTGTACTTTTGGAATTACAATTTGAGGAAATCCACACGAGTTGCGATGGTAATGAAAACGTCGGGCCGCGGACGGTTCCATCCGTCAACGCTATCGCGGCTCGTGACGTCATTAAGGTGGTCGTCGATCTTTAGTTTCCCGCCAATTTTCTTCTTGGGTTACGGCGATTGTGCCCGCGAGTGTTTACGCTACGAGTCGAGATGAGAGTGAAGATCGCCCACCATTACCACGTGCGCGTGTCGTATGCAGCATGTTCTTGCCGGATACGGTAACTTGGAGTAGTCTAGGCGTAGTGCGTTGACCAGCATGCTATACGAGTTTTGAATGAGCTGGTTTTTGATCTTGCAAATTCAAAAGCGACATACAAGGACAATGTGTGGGTGTGCCTTGTCTATGCGTTTGTCGATTTATATTGCGCGATTCAGCCGCAACCTTAGACTTGTCAACCGTCCTTTTCCATTCTTTTTTTTAAATGAAAAATCGGCCCAAGCAAGGTTATAAAAGCCACTCTTATCAAAGGGCTAGAAAGAAGAAAATATGATGAAGAGAAAATATATTAATCAGGAAAGCTGAAGGTACTCAAGGTAAGCAATAATGTCCCTCTTTAGGCTAGATCATAGAACGGAGGGAAACAGCGACTAGGCAAGGAGATCCAAATAGATACAGCACGTTGGAAAAAGCTGTTAGAGTGGTTCTTTGTTCTACATCTCAGCACTGCTACAGTGTATGGGTGAGAGGAAGCAGAGAGTCTTGTTGCACGCTCAAACACCCTGACACAGATGTCAGTTCTTATTAGTTGTATTGTTTTGGGGCGGAATTTTAACCAGCATGTCAACAGCCATGAAATGACACCATTCATTTCAGCCCTCATTAATTTTACGAGGGAAAGCCTGACGGATAGATCATGTCAGTAAACATTTTCAAAACATTTGTAAAACATTTGTGTAAAAAGAATTCCGATAAGTGTCATGTTACTTTCTTCGGTACTCTGGTCACATTTGTACTGGAAAGCGACTTACTCCGACACGCATCGGCACTATTTCAACTTTGCACAAGCAATAACTGCGAACGCTAAGGTAACTTTGAAAGCAATTTTAAAAGGATCTAATTCTGATAACTCCAGTTTACTGGAGTTGTTTGAACATAATGCACATGTTTTTTGTGGTTTGCGATTGTAATGTCTGTCTGTCTCGGGCAATTTCCGTTTCCAGTGTAAAAAAAGTAAAGTCTGTCACGAGCAAATGTGGCCCATCAGGCCGGCGTTTATCTTCGGTTTCAGTAGCATGAAACGACTGAAAATATTACTATTCCCCCCTGGACGGAATGCTAGTCAATCGCAGGTTACTAGCTTATGCCAGTACTAATTTTTACTCCTGGGTGGAGAGAGGCAAGTGGGGGTGAAGTGGCTTGCCCAATGACACGGCATATGGCCAGCGGCTGGATTCGAACCCATGACCCTCTGATGACCACTAGTCCACAGTCCCCCACTGCCTCCGATCTTAAAGTACATTGCTACATTCGATTGGAAGTCTCCAAGCGGCAGTCTTTTGGGTAAAACCGGGGAAATGTCACGTGCCGCTTAAACCGGAACAAAACTTAACCAGCCTGAACATGGAATTATTCACGCCTCGGATATGTACACGGCTGCCGCCTGTCGAACGTGACGTACATAAGGTGTAAATAGAATCGTCATGTGAAGCGTGTTGAGTCGATATATTTTAGAGCGGAGTTGGGCGGCACCGTAACGGGATTTTGCTACGGCAGGGATACTTCGCCGGGCGGCAAAATGTCTCCAAAGCCTCGGCGTGCCTGGGCAAAAGAATGCAGCTAACTGTCAAACAGGCTTAGCATTTCCCAGACTTGATCAGGAGACGAGGTATAGCTTCGTTGTCTGTTTTGTTTCGAGTATATTCTCGACTGTGAGAAAAGACAAGCGGATCGAGAGGGGCCCAAGATGGGTTTCGATCTGAAAATCCGAATCACTGACTTCACTCGAGACGTATGGATTTCGAGACATACGTACGCCATGTTTTAATTACGCTACCAAAATGATCTTGCAGATCTTAATGCATCCATTATTGTGTCCAGGGCAGCAGATGTTGACTGCAAGTGGTCTATTTGTATGTAGAAGGTACTCGTATATGTACCGGTTCTGGATGCGGTGTTTTTATCTGCAGCACACATCGTCAATGGATCATGATTATTCAGCTACTTCGATATTGATTCATAAGAAAATAACAATGACGTCACACCATTGCTATCACTCACCAGCATGTACACATGTACATAAAAGCATTGCAAAGAACGGCTTTCTTCGAGCTGCCACAGTGACCTAGTGGATAGTGGAACGAACCTATGTCCATTTTCATCGAATATTTTTGTTGGCTGAGATAAGTTTAATTGAAGGGAACCACTACGAGAACCTAAATGTCTTCCATCCACACAGCGTGATAAATATTCATGTTAGGGTGTACGTGTTCTACATAACCCCTGAGGACAAACACACGGGAGAACAACAGATCATTTCAGTCCTCGCGCGTTGGGCCTTTTGTTGTAAACGGTACGTCCTCTGTAGTAGGTTCGTGTGCTTAGTCTACGGGAGAGTGTTATATTAAAGGGACAAAGCGAAACACAAAGCATTGTCCTCGGGAGTATAGTAAAACCAGAGTGTGTGCGTGATGTGTGATTGGTTAAAATACGATGTATGCTGTGAAAAAAAATACGCGTACTGGATATCAAGAAGCATCTATTTTTCAAAACACTTGTAGTTGCTGCCATCGTCTTTCATAAAAAAAAATTTACTTCGCGTCCTTGCCTTAATCAGCTAAAAATGAATTGAAATAAAGAGGCTGTTACGACAAAAACGGACAGGTCTGAATTTGGACGGAAAGTTCTTCCACCTAGCCAGACTGCCCCATCTTTATCTTGTGAAGAAAGCCACAGCAAGGCTTTTAACGGACAGTACCCTTCCAGGGTAGCTGTTTTGCCTGTTATTCAGGGACTCTTATTCAGGGACGCAGTTTCTCAGGAACACGATATAGGGGAGCCATTTCGGAGAGTATCGATTTCCGCAATGCAGGTCTGCAGACGAAGATTCCGTGCTAGATAAACAGAGCAAGGACGAGAAATAAGAGGAGCTATGCAAGAAATCTGTTTCCACACATCATAATTTTTATTTTTTTTTACGAGGGGTGGTATTTTCATTGGGATTTGGAATCTTTTAAATCCGTAAATGCATATTAAATTGCCGGAAATGTAGCTTGGTTTAATTCCATCCGCAGTTCATCTTGTGTCCCTGCGAATGAAATGTCCAGTGTTCATTTAATTGCAATGCCGTGTTCCGAATGGTTGGCCTTGGTCCTTTAATAACGCATCTTGTGTTTTCCAGAGGCTGCATCATGATGTATTAAACCTTCAAATAACAATAATTAGCAAATCTGTGTATTAGAGGGTTCCATAGTAAACACGCATAGCGGACATGACTCTCGTTTGCTTCTGCGGTATGAAATATTGTATTTGTTATCCAATGTAAAAACTTCACAAAATCATGTTGTTGTTATAGGTGTTGTTTTTCTTCTGTTTGTTGGGTATTTTTTAAAGACTTTTCAAATGAGTAAAGAAGGAGTGGCTTTATTTTAAAGGAGGATTTACGAATCGTCTTGAATGTCGTCAGTTATCTACTGTCACTACAGACAGTGATAGAATCGAAAATAACATTGCTTGGAGATGTAACGCCCCAATTACGGCATCCGTCCAACTACAGTTGGGACGGTCCCAACTGTACTTACGGTCCCAACTATACATTGTAATTGCGATCATCTTGTATTTTGAATGAAGTACTGTATATCTAACAGTGCACTTGACACAGCACCATTTGGGGAAACAAATCAATTTAATCGTATATGCCGCTTTGAGGAAAATTGAGGCATACATAAAGAAACTTCGCCCAGCCAGTGAAAGAATTGGCACATATTAATTTTTTTCAATTTAAGTTTATTGCAAGACCATTTCTTTTCGTCTCAGGACCTGTTAATAGAGACAATTGTGCAAGATCTCGACAAAAAAACTAAACTGTTTGATTTTTGTTTAAACTAATGTTTCTGAACTCTTGTCTTCTACAGACTACTGGATGACGACGAAGACAATTTGGATTCCTGCATAGCCGAGTATCTTGCCAATGGGGAGGCTACCTCTGTCGACCATCTACCCGGTAAGCAGAGGAAAAAAGCCTACAGATATACTCTCCGATAATGGGGTAATAATGGGCTTCAGGCGTGAACAAAAGAGGGCGCTTTTTAACTTAGCAAGTGGGAAGTGTGATGGGGCGGGGACCAGTCAGAATAGAGAGATGCGAGGTTATAATAGAGAATTAACCTCGTAGGTTCATGTGCCAGATTATCCGTCTTTAACATGCGAATCATTAATTGGGATCTTAAAAAAAAAACAATTTATCAAAAGTTACGAGCCTGTTGTCAAAACGCTTCGTCTATGGCTGATATGTGCCAACTACGTTTAGCACCATACTTTTTGCAATAATAGCGACGACGAAAAAGAGAAACTGTGAAGCTGCATCTGACATAAAAATTTAACGAACGTGCATTTCCCGATCGTCTGCTTTCCGGTCAGACAGAAGGCAGACAAAGAGTTGACTTTCAGGTACCGAGGTACTGGGACAAGAAATCTTCATATTTTCCTGCTCAACAATTTCCTGTCTTCTTCTCTCCTACTTATGGGAGAGCAATACAATTTGGATTAATATTGATCAGAATAATAATGCACAGTTTCGACGACTATTGAGGAGAAACACAGATGTCAACATATTGGCCTAAAATAATGGACATTGCCATGCCCGTGATTACGACGGGCAGAAAGGCTGCCTGTGCCCCTGAACGTACGTCGGAGGCCTAGGCCTATGGGCAATTTCAATGACATGCTAGACACAGAATTTTGGTACGCACGGAATATTTGTGCTTAGCAAAAACAGGGGCCAATTTCATAAAGCTGCTTAAGCACACAAATTTGCTTAAGCACAAAAAAACCCTTGTTTAATATAATCATGTTACCGGCCAAAACTCTATGCGACGTACATTGCTTGTGACTGGTATTTAGCTGTTGTGGACTTAGCATAACCAGTCGCATGCAGTTTTGGTGAATAACCTGCCGATTATATAAAGCATTTTTTTGTGCTTAAGCAAATTTTATGCTTTAAGCAGCTCTATGAAATTTTCTCCAGGTTACTAGCCAAAATGTCAAGGACGTGTATTGCGTGTTTCTGGTCCTCAAAGACATTCTGCTTAGCAAATTCTTCTACGTTTAAGGAGATCAGTGATGTTGCCCCAGCTGTAATTGCACCTTGCATTTATTCCTGACAGACATACCTGAAGAGGAGCCGATGCAGACAGGCGAAGCTGAGACAGTAGTGGTGGACTTCTCGTCTGAGCGTGCCGAGGAGGAACGCTCGCCCGTCTCACCTCGGCGGGTCTCCTTTCAAGTGGTCCCCATCAGACAGAAACAAGCAAAGTACGTCCGAAGGTAGGCGCTAAAGTTCCTTTTGACCTTGAGCTTGCCACGCCTGCATGATGGTACAGTGAAATAGGGTTAAGGATGAGCTGGTTAAACGTGTAGAAATGACATGAACTAGTTAATATCCCATCGGCATCTTTCCCGGACAAAAGCGAAAAAAAAACCTTAGCAAAATCCAAGAACCAGTCGCGAGCAATCGTTCACATGGAATATTGGCCGATTGCAAGTATTTGCTCAAGGAAATTTGGTTTTGCTAAGTCCTCAATGAAATGAGCCACATAATCCTAAGATGCTGCTTTCACAGTACTACTCCATTAAACCTTTTAAATCGTATCTGTTGAACACCACTGAACAGTTAGGTTGACTGTTTCCCAATGTTTCAATTTAACTAAATATAAATATTCTTTCATTGACAGGTACACTGAGGGAGATTTTCATCACTTGAAATTATCCCGGATTAAACCTTCCGGTGATTCCATGAAGGCTTTCTCCCTGGACTACGACTGCCAACGGAACAGCGACCGCAGGACCCATTCCCCAGGACGCCCCACCAGGACCAGCCTACCCACGCCTGACGACCTCCAGTGGCACAAACCCCTAAACGATGACCCACTCCAACCACGCGGTATGACCGTCAAAGCCCAGGTTCACATCCAACCGACAGAGCAGGGCAAAGCACCGGAAGCAGATGGCATCAAGTCCAGGGATCTCTCCCCAGGCGGGCAGGCTCGCCTGCACGCACCCTCGCACCTGCAGCTCCGCTCCCCGAGGAAAAACAGCCGCGACAAGGCGGCTTCGGAAGCCGACAGGGAGAGCGAATCCATAGGGTTCGTACCCATACCCGCCGAAAACCAAGCTGGATTCGCGGAGCCCATCAGCAGCGAGGGCTCAGAGGGTAACGGGAAAATGACGACCAAAGGAATGCGGCGGGCCCCCAATGCGCCGCTTAAGTTCCACCCTCCACCGCAGATAGAAATCTGCGAGAAACCGACACCAGATCAGGAATTACGAACCGGGGCTTATCGAGAACTCTGGCAGCTTCGCACTACGCTTGAAATGGAGGATTCGGGAAGCTTAAGCTCGGAACCAGATACCGTAATTCCAGCCGAACGTGGAAAAGTAGAAGGGCCTGTCCAAGAAGGTGACGGTGAGAGCCAGTATTTGGAGCCCAGCGATTCGGCACTTTCTCCGACTGACACATCGGCAGCAGAAGCTGATGACGGGAAAAACAGACTCACAGTTGTGCAGAGGTATAAGTTCAACACACATGGTAAAAATGACAGCTTTGAGCAGATGTTTAGCAGCATCAGTACTGAGGAGTCAGACACATCGGAGAGAAGCAAAGGAGGGGACAGTTCTGGGAAAGACAGTGCAAGTAAACTCAAGCAGATGCAGGCCGACAGTGGATACACGTCAATAGAACACAAGAATGAAGTCTCGGAGCAGCAAAAGAGGTATCTGTTTGCATCGGCCGACAGAGATAGCACGAGTTTGGAGAGCTGCGCTCCTGCTTTGTCGAGCGAGAGCAGCCCGATCGGAGAAAGGCCCCTGTCGTCAGGGACTGACAGTGCGGTACTTTCAGAGACCAGCAAGGAGGAATCCTTGCCCACTAATATCCACGGTGTGAGAAGGAGGAGTGATCGACGAACAGCCTCAACAAAACGACGCGAATTCATTGCAGAGAAAGGCGAAGCCATCTTTGGCAGCTTCAGTTTTCCGGAAGAGGAGAGCGAAGCTGACTCGCAGACAATAACAGGATCGGTTAGTGAGAAATCAGTCGGTGTTGCAGGTGACTCGGCAAACGAATCGTCGGAGCGCATCCGCAACAGCAATCGAGTGGGTAGGATCTTCCGTGTCCAGGGAGAGCACCGACTGAGGTTTTATCCCAAGGGGAGGGATTACAGCATCGACGAAAAGACAGATGCCTTGTTCAAGGAATTCATGCGATCAGACGCAATGTTTGATGCGCCAACATCGAGGCGAAGTCGTCCGCCTCGCAATCGTAGACTACAATTGCAGCATAAGCAACACAGTGACTCTCAGATAGACCCAACGCGCAAAATGGTTGACGCGTCGTCTTCTCCGGATGTTAGAAGCGCCAGTTTTGATCACAAAGGAGAATCAGCGAAAGAGAGACTGACCCACCTGCTCCCTAGCTCCAGCTCAGCTAAGAAGCTGAGTCCTCAGGACAGTGTGGAAGAGGATTACCTCCGCAAAGAGAGCGGCAAAATTTGGGACGGGAACCGACCACCTGCCAGGAAACGCGATCTAGAAGAACTGCCACCCAAAGATCGTGAACCATCAAATCGACATGAGCACAGCGAAGAGTCTCGGGCTTCAGCGCAGCCCTCGCCGAGATTAGAACTTGAGGATGTCTCATGTCGGCCGAGCGCCTTCCGTTGTGTGAAAAAGTCTCCGAAACTAAAAAGATCGCATGCCTCCATAGCTCCAGAAGATGAGGCCTTGTCAGACAAACCTCGCGCCCACGAAGAGCAGCCTCCGTTATCCAAAGGGAAAATTGTATCTCAGACCACACTAGTACGACCGACAGCCATCCATCCTAAAGAAAGCTTACCCAGCAGCCACGGTGCAGCGGGTCATCGTGATTCTCCAAGAAACAGCGGCCATTACTCCTCGAAAGGAGAGCTAAGAGATGAAGCGTACCGCCACCGAGACCCCCACCCGTCAGGTGGAAGCGAGCCTCCACTGCATCGGAGGGGCCGAAGTCCCGGCCGGGACAGAAGCCCGTGGAGGTCCCCTCAGACCCCAACTGCCACCCATTCGCAAGAAGGTGAAAGAGAGTACGCAGACAGGAGGGCCAAGTCTCCCTTGAGGATGCACAGCGCCGGCAGTAGTCAGGGTAGTGCCGAGTGGAGTGATGAAAGAGGCTTCCTAGGCGTCCCGTCCAAAGACCATCTTGACAGACCGCACAGCGCGTCCTCTCTTCTCAGACTTCAACGAGAAGCTGCCTCGCCGCAGTTTGAGAGGCATTACAGTGATGAGACCTACGATGCTCCGCGACGCGATCGCAGCATAGACTACGATACCAAGCTAGAGGCTGACCGGGAACACAGAGGGTCATCCGGACGACTTCACCCTTTACGGTGCCATCCTGGAAGGCATATACGACCCGCCACGGTCAGAACCAGCTCCGAGACGAACATTTTAGAAACCAGGGATGGGCACAAGCGGAGCCGTGCCCACGACCTGAGGAGGCAGCATTACGGTAGAGCTCACAGCGCCCTGGATGTATTCGCTGCGAACAAGCCTCCACCGAAAGACCCACTCAGATCAAGACCGCCTCCAGAGAGGCTCTCCGTCAGGTCAATGACATTAGACTCTCCGAACAGTCCAGGAGCAGTACCCAAAGAACGCAGACACCCACTAGATATCCCAAAAGAGGAAAGGAGACATCCTTTAGAGGGACTGAAAGACGAAAGGAAACACCCTTTAGATATCTTTAGTAAGGAGGAACGCAAACACCCTCTAGAGGGTCTGAAAGATGAGCGCAAACCTTCAAAAGAAGAACGCAGGCATCCTCTAGATGGATACAAGGAGAAACATAAAGACAGTACAGCACCTCTACGGTGGTAATACACGTTTTAACTAGGTTAGAATTAGAATATTAAAATAAATGTATATTTGCGAAAAAACCTCCAAAAAAAAAACACACTAAAAGAACTAACTAAATAGCACTGAAAACATTTGGTGCTTATCCAATAACATACATGTGTATGTTGAACTGTACATAATAATTTTAAAGTACCATATTCTTTTAATTTTCCAAATGTATCATTTTATATGCCTTGATTAAAGGAAAAGTTGCAGCATTTTCTATTCTATATGATTATTGTTCATTAATTTGTATAATAAGAAAAGACTATAGATATCGTATATTGTAAAATAGGCTTGTAACAAAAACACTTGATATTACGGTTGAGTAGTGGTTGTGCATAAATCTGAATAACTTTACAGAACTTCAGCAGCTTTTTATACCACACTGTAGTTTTGAATATTAACGGAATGTCTTTAAATAGCACACTGCAGAAAAAAATTTAGATTAGTTTGAATATTATATTACAATTCTACTATGAATAGTACAGTAAACAAAAATCATTTCGTTTTGGAAATGAGTCAGAACTGTAAAGGTTCATTTCTTTCTAATTCGGGTGACGAGGTGCAATTTGAGAAAGGTGCAATCATTTACCCCAACTCCTTGACATTCTCATTCATGTTAAACAGTTGTTTGATTACTATCTTGTATATACACCGAAAAGGAGACTTATTTATGTACGTACACTGCGTGTACCTTTCGTGCCGAGACTTTAAGATGTAAAACAAATCGATCATTATGATGAAATATTTTACTACGTGTAATGGTGTTTACAATTTCCGACGACATGCCTTGTATATAATGAGTAACTCAGATTCGTGAAATGCAAACAGTAAAGTGCTGCAATTTTGCAATGACTGTGAACAGAAGGTGTAGCCTATTCATAATTTATAGCAACATGTGAGCACTACTGTACATATTTTTTTACACTGCTGCTCCCTTTAGCATTAAACAGTTCACAGTTTAACTGTAGGCACGAAGTCGTAGTCTCGACTATTTTAGGGAAGGTCAGCTATTTTTCGGAAAGTCATTTTAGGGAAACTATTTTAGGAAAAGTCAGCTTGAGTCAGATTGCACCGTTTCTAGTTGTGAGTATCAATATTTTACATGACAGTGAAGCATACTTTAAGCAAACTTAAAAAAAAAACATTTCTGCAGGTCTTCGTTTGGGATAAACACAACGGGTATTCATGCCCTTGTAGACTTCAATTTTGTTTTGGTCCCATAATGACTGTTTTCCCCGTAAGAAAACAAAGTGCTGCAAGTCCAGTTTTAAAACTGCTAAAAAAATAAGCATTGTTAAAATATTAACCATGTAGTGAAAATCTAGATTAAAAGGGTGTTTTGTTGGTACCGCATAATCCCGTAGACAATTGAAATCAGCTGCACTGTATTGGTAGATTTGATGGGTTTTGCACTAAACACTGCACAGACAAGGGGATTTAAAGTTCGAAGGAAAATTAGGGGGAAAATTTGGCCAAAAAAAAACCCTTTCAAAGTACAGAATGTTAGTTTTGATATCGTTTCGTCGTTTCTTTTGAAAGATAAATTCCAAACAATATTTTGAGGCTATTGCACTCTTTAAAAATAATGGGAAATTTTTGACCAACTTTTTGCCCAATGTTGGTCTACATATCAACAGGTTAAATAATTGGTTAATTATTGCCCAACCGGGGTCGGGCAGTTGTTTTCCCAAACGATTGGTAAATGCCGTTTGTTTAAAATTTGGGATGCTATCCTCTATCCTTTCATTGGTTATTGTAATTTACATAATATTTGATGGTTACTTAAGTGGTGGCAACAGATATCGGTGTCCTGTTGACCAATCCCAGCACAGTATCAATACTATCACGAACGCCCTCTTCAATGGCGAAACTATTATGCTAGATTTTATTAAAATAATCCGTCATGGGGCAGTTGCTTTGTGCAATTGCATGCACAACGGTTTCTCCATTGATGGTGACCTCGTGTGAGTACAGTGATCACGTGGGCCGGATTCGTCTAAATAGACCAATCAGAGGTATCATTGTAAATTCACGGAGGCCCCTTTCAATGGCGAAAACATTCTGGCACTCATTGTACAAAGTAACTGCCACGTGAAGGATTATTTGAACAATAGCTAGCACAATGCTATCGCCACTGACGGGAGCGCTCTGTGAGTGTACAGGTTATGGCGTGCTTGGATCGGTCTGGTATAACATTCAGACTTTTATAAAATATATTCATGTTGATTCTCCATCAAAAGCTTTCGTATGTTCTCAATTTGTGTGTACTTAGAAATGCGAAACGTGTAGGGAAAGGTTTTTCAGGGCGTCACAATTTACCGTTGCATTGCAGTGTTTGGATTGGAGTGTTTCCACATGCGCAGTGTAGCCAACAAAAGAAAATGGCGACATGTGTCTGCTGCCACCAATCGGTCGAAAAGTGTCCTTTTGATTGTAACTTTTCAGTGAAAATAACCTATGTCATCGGACTGTCCCATCTTTTGGAAAGGGGTTAATTATGCTGGAATTCCTCGCATTCTGTATCTCCTCCGTGGCCTTAAATATTTCGTCTGTTTTACAAATGTTTGACAAAAAGGCCTTGAAATGTTGTCGAAATTAAGAATAAATGGGTGGAAAGATGAGGAAAAACGGAGGACGTCTCGAGTTCGTTTCTTTCCGATGTGTACTCCCATTGTTTTCCCTGGTGGGTTTCACCAAATTTAAGAATCGTAGTTGGTTTTTCAATAAGAATATCTTTCACATCTTTATCTCATAAATACGTTCACATAGCTGGCAGTTTTGAGTTGGGGAGGGGCTGTGTGTTAGGAGCGATGTGTGCAACAGTTAAGAGTGGTTTTTTTTTTCTTGACTTCAGTTCGCGAATATTTCAAAGGTTTGAGTTTCATGAAATGCAATACTTTGACGTAAAGTCGTATGAATATGTCACTTTTCGAGTGAACAGAGCCCGACATTTCAACGATGCAGGAGAAACAGTCATGACTATTGATTCAAATGGTGCGCCCGTCTTATCTCTGACGTCATAATGATAACAGTTTGTCCTCTGAAGCGGCGGCGAGATATAAGTCAGCCCTGGAGGGCGCTGTTACTGTAGACAATGAGAACGAACTTTCCGGCCCTCGACTATATATACACATGAATTCGAGTGCAAGAAATTACCGATGTCGGCAACAAACATCTAAATTCACGGGGTTTTTCTAAAGATAACAATCTCCACAGCTCTCATGGAACCAATAACAAATACTTTTGGCGTTTATTAAATTCTAGTTCCTTTTGATAAAACATTTACCAACGCTTAGAGTGAGAATTAAAAAAAATGGCGCATAGCTGTTGCGATAATACGAAAGGCTACCTCTTTCAAAGTTCAGTTTAAAATGCACGCACCTATGCATGTCGTAGAATACTGTAACAAGGCTGCACTCAATGCGCTGTTTCCAGGGCAAAAAAAGTAAGAACGGACAGTAATGAATACAAAGTTCCAACGGATATAAAGTGCGTACAAAACACTTGTAGTAGGCATATTTTGGAGAAATATTTATTCTGATCATGCAACTTAAGGTTTCAGTTAAAAAAACAATGGAAATTTTCTCATAGGCCTATATCAGATCTGTAACAAGCTTGATCGAAAATATCTCGGAAGCTGCGGGCCAACGAATATGAGTTACGTGATTGTGCCATGTAATTTCTGGAAGGAGTAGTGTTTTAGTAAAAAAAAAAAAATCAGGTTTTGACCCCAGTAACTCCATCATGACCTTTGACCCCAGTTTGGTCATGTAACATGTTGGGGCCTAGCTACTGATACTTTTGACAAAGTTTGGTTAAAATCGGTGAAATGTACACTGTTATTTCGGTTGTGTAAAAAATCAGACGGTTGTGTACTATATGAACCTAGCAACCCGTTGTGTAAACTGTTGTTTACACAACTTGTGTAAAATATTACACAACTTGTTCAATTTTTTTACACAACTGGTTGCTAGGTTCATATAGTACACAACCGAAATAACAGTGTAATTATAACGGAGTCTTCTATAGCGCACGTATCTACCAACAATTGTGTACTCAAGGCACTGGAAATTATGTCCATTATTAAAGAAAGGTAAATAAAGTATATGAGAAATATGAGACCCATTATGTAGCACCTTATAAGGGTTGACAAGGTGCTGCGGCGCATATTGCAGCCACCGCCAGAACCACTGGGGCAAACCCCTTCTCTTAGCGATAAGTGTTATTGGGTTCTTTAACGTGCATTACACAACACACGGGACCTACAGCTTTACGTCCCATCCGAAGGACGAAGTAATAATGGTAAAGTGCCTTGCTCAAGAGCACAAGTACCATGTTCCCACGGTCAGGATTAGAACTCATGTACCACGACACACAAATTGAACACCGTAACCATTGGACCACAGCACCCCACATGTAGGAGCAATAGACAATATCAACGTTTGTTACTAACTAACTAATTAACTATCTAACGGACTATTAACGGAGAGACACGATGATTTGTTGAGCTGCTATCCCGCAGTTAAAAACGAAATTGGCCCTAGCTTGAAACCATCGAGAACTAAATGCACTACTACGGGCAGCTTTTTGTCTTGTTGCACAATGCACCACCACTACCCCAATGAAACATTTCATGCACCGAGCATTCACATCCCTCAGCTACCTCGGGGATATACGTAAAAGCTTCTTACAACATTTCGCTCTGCTTCCTAACTTGCGGAAGATTTGTGATGAAATGCTCGACTGAAAGAACATTCGAATGCCTTAAAAGCTTCTTAACTGGGTTTGCCTTGGCTGAGAAAGCTAGCTCCAGGGTCTCGCTGTTAAGCCGTTTCCACTCAGGAACCTAGAAGTGTTGGGTTTAAAAAATGTCCAAGGCCCTTGCCTGCGCAGGCTTACTGGGCACTTAGCATGCAATGCAAAGTTGAGAAGCGTACATCGTTCAGAGAGCATCAAACATTATTCGAACGTACAAATGATGTTTTACCATTTCGTTATATTAATTTGACAATTCACAACTTTTAATGCAACAACATATTTGTTGGTCCCTCGACCACGAAAGGGAGAACTTTACCACATATCAACGAGTAGTGGAAAGATCTGTCAATTTATAATCCTTTAATAAGACAGAGGGAAAGGTATTTCGCATAATCAAAAGGAACAACAGTTATCCAGAAAAGCATAAAAGGAATAGTTTTTGATGTCCACTCGTTGTAGACAAGGCATCTTGGTCAAGAGATGCGGAGATGAGTTGATATAACTGTAAATATTTATTGCCACATAATTTTCAAATCTGGATCATTGTCATTTTATAAATTTGTCCTTCGATGTTAATGTCAGTATTCATTCATTGTCTTCATTTTTGAGAGCGTCTTTACCACCAGAATCTAGCGAATGTATTCAAGTTTACTGCTTTGCACCTACGTGGATCGCAACAACGGGATCGTCGTTACCCGAGCCCGCGATGTCAAACTTGGCGAACCCGTTGCTGTCAACGTAGACCGTGGGTCCGGTGCATTTGCCGTTGTTGAAGTCGCCCAAGATGATGTTGCAGTAGGTACCGGAGGGAAGGCCCGTCTGCAAGGTCTGGCTCAGGGAGAAGTCCTCGTTGTTAATGACGATGAAGCCCTTGTTGCCGCGACCGAAGGCAATCTGGTAAAAACCGTTGTCCCACCAGTTGGCGAAGGCCTGGCTAACCGTCACCCGCCGGAAGTCCACCATGTTCTTGATTTGCCTCCAGCGATGCTCGCAGACCCAGCCGTTGCCGCAGGTGTTGTCGGCGTAGAAGATGGGCGATATGATGTTGCCAGCCGCGTCTTTCGGCGGGCTGCTGTTGGGGTCACTGAAAGCGAAGCTACTCATGACGCGAGTCAGTCCGTAAGGGTGAGCCAGCATGAAGGCGTTGGCCATCTTGTACCGCCTGGAATCCTTGTGGGTGATGATGCCGCCTCCACCTCCGTGACCCCTCTGGTTGTCGTGGTTGTCGACGAACACCAGGGAGTTGTAGTCCGGAATGAAACCCCAGGCTTCGCCGAAATTTTGGAACGACTTCAGCGGATTCTTCTTGTAGAAGCCCTCGGCGAGCTTGATGCCATAATTGAACTCCGTCACCCTGCCAATGTTCAGGTACTCCCATGCGGACACGGCCTCCCCACCCTGGTCAATCACCTCTTGGACGACAAAAGGCCGGGCGTTGCTCGGGAAGCCAAAGTTGGTGTTGAGGTTCTTTAGCCGGTTGTAGATGGGCTGGAGGTCACCCGGCCACATGTGCTTGGCGGCGTCGAAGCGGAAGCCGGCCACTCCCATGTCGATCAACCTGTTCAGGTACTCAGCGATCTTACCCCGGACGTAGTCTTTGCCAAGATCCAGATCTTTCAGGCCCTTCAGGTCGCAGTTGCGGATGGAATCCACATTGCTGTAGTCAATGCCGCTGGGAGTTGGGCATTTACCTTGTGGGTAGTTGAAATCCAACTCCGAGTAAGGTACTCTCCAGAAGTCATACGCTGTCCGGATGGAAAATAGGAGGTAAAAGCAGACCGTGAATTCGCTAGCAACTATTCTAAATTCGCCTATATTTTCTCAGCCATTTTCCGATAAAACAAACGTTAGTTTGGTCTTGTTAGAAACTCGGAAGGGTGGCCAGACAGTGGTGCGAAAGGTATGGAAACAGGAAGTGATTTGATATGTTGAGACAATCCAGGTTGCGATTTTGTAAGATGTGAATATTGGAGAATTGAGATAAGCTGAATTAAAGAAATTTGACAGCAGTACTTACGTCCACTGCCATCGGGAGTGTTAGCTGCCATGTGGTTGATGACAGCATCCACGTAGATGCGGACGCCGACCTTGAAGCATCGGTTCACCATGTCCTTGAACTCGTTTTCGTTGCCGCTACGCGTGTCCAGTCCGTAGCCAATGGGCTGGTACCGCTCATACCAATGGCGTTCGGGTTCAAGTTTGATGTTCTCGTTGGGAGGGGAGACCTGGACTCCGGCAAACCCATGGGGCCCTAGCCAACTAAAGACGGTAAAAGATACATGAATGCAATCACTAAAAAAATGACAATATATCTGTTAGACGCAGAGTAAATGAAATGATTAGGGCCAGGGCTGAGTAAATTTCCATTAAATCTCCCGTAGATGAACAATGTCATTTGATATTTCGAAGCATGTATTTTGTCTTAATTTATTTATCTTTACATATTAAACTTTCTTTACATGCATCCCTCCTCAAATGTGGTAAAATGTGTCTTTGCCACATGAGTATCCGTAGACTATACCTTTCTGAATAAACGCTGATGAAAACTAGGACAATTATTTTAAAATTGCAGTTGGTAACAGCCCGGCAAATGAGAGCACATAAAACTGGCACCGCATCTACCAACATTTGTCAATCAAACAAAAGAACTTGTATTTTGTTTTGTCTTTTCGAAACATCTATTTAAAAAATGTCCTTACTTTTCACACTCGTTGGCGATATCCTTCCATTTCCACTCAAACAGGTGCACGATCACCTGCCTGTTGTCCATGGTGTGAGCGTCCCACTGGGCGACAGCCACGCCCAGGAAAAGGCAAAAAACCCATATGATAGCCATCTTGTTGAAAAAAAAAGAGAATGTAAAATCGTTTAGACATCAGCATGCATGATTCAGTGGTCCCATTACTAACAGTGCATATAGATTGTTTGTATTGGATTTGTAGTCCTTGTATATTTCTAGAAATAGGCCAATGTCACAGTTACAACAAAAAGCATTAGACGCGTTTACAGCGAGTAAGAAAACAATTCCTTTTCAATTCGTCATTGGAATATTTGGTTGAAATGTATAAATGAAATGACGGTTTTTTTATGATAATAGAAATGGAAATATGTTTATTTTAGAAGAAAAAAAACCTGGTTATTTGTTTTGGTATAACTTTGTTATATTCCGAAAACGAAAGGAACGATACATGTATATGTCCTACAAATTTGAAGGTTAACAATATGAAGGACGCGTGAAGATTGGAGGCTGGTTGCAGTCAGGCAGGTGAATAGAGAGGTGGCAGACGGAGAGGTGGTTATGTTGGAGATAATTTTTGTGAAACTGGGTGGTAGGCAGTCAAGCAAGCAAGGGATGGAAAGGGAGTTGGGCAGGCAAGGAGGGTACATGGAGAGACAGGTAGTTGAAGGTGCGAGGGTGGCAGACAAGTAGACCGACAGGCTCACTAGGATGGGTCGGGCTGGTACTTGAGCTGGGTTGTCAGTCAGACAAGTAAACATGGCAGTTGATGGACGGGGGAGGAGGAGATGGAAGGGGGAAGGGGAGGTACGGGTAGGCAGGCAGGTACGCAGAGACAATGGGGTAAGGTAGATAGACGTACTGGAAGATTGACATTGAGGTGAGGGTGAGTAAGAGGCCAGGAAACACTAAACATGCAGACAGGCAGGACATATTAGCTAGGAGGCATGCGTATGTATATAGCAACCACATATTATACAACTATCATTGTATACAAAGATGCTTACTCCGTTTCAGATTAGCGATCCAGAATTGCGCCAAACCGACATGTATTTAGAGTGACTCAAGTCGTCAAAAACAGAAAGTGGTTTCAGACGTGCGAACTTTTCTGTCCTTTTTTTCACTAACGGGACTGTTATGTCCTTTCGAACAACTGCAATAGTCGGAATATCTTCTGAGTGTAAGTCGCTCCTGAATGTTTCAAACCTCAAATATAATTAATTCAGCGCAACTCTCGAACGCCAGTACGACACATGTGTCAAAATATCAAAAATATTAAAATAACACCAATTTACCTTTCTCGCTTCCCAAGCTCGGGTCCTGACGCCGACAACGCCGAGATTAAAGTCTTCCAACTCACGGGTTGGTTTTTATACCTAACCATCACAAACAGTCTCGAGCAAAGGACCACGCAAGCAAACCTTATCACTGATTGACGGGTAAATTTCGAGATTGCGCGCAACTTGTCAGCGACTACATAAGATATAACTTCCATCTTGTTGATTGGCATTTTGTTGTTGAGGAAACTAGTTCAAGTGTGAGTGCTAGAGTTCTAGAGACATCGATTTTAGGTCGTAGTCTTTATTCAAGACAACTACGCGCATGCAACCACACCTTCTGAACGCACGATACTGACAGCAATATTCTACAGTTCACAATTTTATCGTAGCGTAATTGTGGCATTAAGTGGTACGATGACCTATTTTACGGAAAGTTATATTTATTGCACCTTTTCTTGCTAGCGACTATAAGATATAATTTCCATACCAGTCTTGTTGATTGGCATTTTGTTGTTGAGAAAACTAGTTCAAGTGTGAGTGCTAGAGTTCTAGAGACATCGATTTTAGGTCGTAATCTTTATTCAAGACAACTACGCGCATGCAACCACACCTTCTGAACGCACAATATTGACAGCATGCAATATTCCACAGTTCACAATTTTATTGTAGTGTTATTGTGGCGTTAAGTGGTACGATGACTATTTTACGGGAAGTCATATTGAGTCATATTGCACCTTTTCTGTTTGTGAGTAGAAAAATTTCGCATTAAAGTGAATCATACTTTAAGCAACCTTTAAAATAATAGCTGCAGGCTTTCGTTTGGTACTGCCACAATGTATATCCCATTATACAAATATAACATGGTTTGAGGGTGGACAGTCGATATTCGCTCCCCGAGGTATTGGAAATTGACAAACTAGTTCCCGAAGCGAAGCCGAGGGAACTAGTTTGTCAACTTCCAATAGCGAGGGGAGCTAATATCGACTGTCTACCCGAAATAAACCATGTTATATTTGTTTTACTATACTTCATACATATTCAGTTGCCGATTTTGTTTTGTATATGCACCTGAAACAAAATTCGGGGAAACTTGTCTTGTACAGCTCACCACAAGAATATTGTTGCTCAACTTCAATTACTAGTTCGGTTCGTTTGCAATATAATACAGTAACTACAGTTGTAAATACAGTTGTTTGTGTACAACTTTCTTTTGTACAGGAGACATCTTTACACGGTCCATTAATTTTCTCCAGTACGGCATCATTGAGCTCTGGAAATTAACATTTACGCGAACCGTGCAACCATGCATCTCTCTTGGGGCGATGTTCGCGCGTGTGTACTGCACCCGTGTGACAGTTCCTCGATTGCTCTGTAAAGCGCATGCGTAGTAGACTGTTCCAAGGTAACCCATGCGACAGTCTACTACGCATGCGTATTTACCCTGTGCGTGAATCCTCGCGCGCGCGTTTGGTGAACAGCAAGAATAACATCTGGCACGTGATGGTGATTTGACCAGTGAAAGTTCGGCTCTCGATCATGAATATGTATGAGGTATAGTAAGATAATATTTTTACGAACAGGCAGGCAGGTGGGCAATGGGGAGATGTAGATAGATGTACCAGAAGGTTGACATTGAGGATAGGGTAAGTATAAGAGGCAAGCAAGCACACAGGCATGCGAACTGGCTGAAAAAAAGTGTCCGTAAGGTGCTAAAAGAAAGTAGCAATCACATCTTATACAACTATCATTCTCTAAAAAGATGCTAACTCCATTTCAGATTAGTGCTCTAGAATTGCGCCAGACCAAAATGTTTTTAGAGCGAATCAAGCTGATCAAAATCAAATTTGGTTTCAGACATTCGAACTTTTTGCAAAATGATTTTTCACTGACTGGACTGTTATGTCGTTTTGAACAACTGCAGTAGCCAACCTTGTAGTCGCTCCTGCATGTTTCAAACCTCGAAGTTCATTCTAATCTTACAATAACGTGATTAATTTGCACGACTCTGGAATGCCATTCTGTAACGAGTGTTAAAATATCAGACAACTTTACCTTTCTCGCTGCTCAAGCTCGGTTTCTGACGCCGACGACGAGATGTAAGTCTTCCAGCTGACGGGTCGGTTTTTATTTATTACCAACCATCATGAAACAACCTCGAAGGAGTAACGCATCACTCAAATAATTATCACTGATTGACGGCATTGCGCGCAGTTTATCAGTTACGAGGTGATATCATTTCCGTCCAGATCTCATTGATTGGCGTTTTGTTGTTGAGAAACTAGTTCAAGTTTGAGTGTTAGATGAAGAGTTCTAGAGACCTCGCTTTGTTAAGGGCGTAGTCTTTATTCAAGCCCACTCTTTGCGCGTGCAACGACAACTACTTAGAGCACGATATTGAGAGCAATATCCGAAAGTTTGTAGTTGTATCGTGGTTTTATATTGTGGTATTAAGTTGCACTGCGAACTATTTTACGGGAAGACATATTGAGTCACATTGCATATATAACACGGTCATTGTTTTTGGTCCCATGAGTTATTCTCGCATTAAGCAGCAAAACGCGGCTCGTCAAGTTTAAAACTGCTGACAATTAGTTTTGCAGCATTTCTGATGTTGCTAGCATCATGACTTTGGGTGTGATCCCTGGCTACGTGGCACATACGGGTTTATATGGCTTCCGACCTCGAACAAAGACAATGAAAAACGTGGGAATCGCCAACATTGGGATGGATAGACAAGCCGGTAGAGGGCGTGTATGGTGTTCCGGAGGTCGCAGGATTAACCCCGCTTCAGTTAAATTCTTTGTGCAACTTTTGAATATTTAATATCATGATGGACCTGATCAGTTAACCATTGAGGTTTCTTTTAATTAAGCATCGGAAAATGTACTAAAAACCTGGATCAAAAATACTTCAATGTTATTCGTTGGTGCCGTACGGTCCTGTTAATCAGCTTTTTATTGCTGCAGTAATTACTGGTTACTGACACGTCTAAGACTTGTACTGTATTTATTACTCGAGTGTCGTTATCGTGTTTTATTATAACACAGTCTTATGTAAAGGTAACGTTGGAAACTGGCTTTTACAAGACGACATAACCATGTTTAAAAAAAACACTTAGAATGTGGAATGCCGCCGCTAAGTCTTACATAAATATATGTGGGATGTTTATTGGCATGGGTTAAAGTTAGCGTTTTAAGAGCTGTGATATGTCTAGTTTGCATCAATTGATTTTCATGGGAATCAGAACAGTTGTAGACAAGACTGTATATTTTACAATGCTTTAAATAATGAAAATGTATTAATCCTATTTTGAAGAAACTTGGAGATTTTGCATGCACAATGTTTATTGGGACACGCTGTACTTCCGTTGTTTATTTTTACGAATAATGTTCAAAGATTATTTCATTTTCCAGACTGTTTGTAACAACACATCAATGTTGGTGTTCTGTAAAATTTGGACTTCATTCGTAATCTGACACTTCCGTCAGTTCTCATTGTTCTCTGTACACTGACACATGAAAACGTGGGAACGGGAAGCGTCTTTTATGCGATCAAAATGTTACCAACCATCTACAACTTTCCATCATGACATTGTGGTTGTAGGCCAGTATTTTAAAAGCCCAGAATTGCATACGCTGGCTAATTCACGATTTGCATACCCTACAATTCTCCGCTATTAGAGTATTTTGTGGCCATGAACTTGAGGGTTCGTTAAAAAAAAAAAAGAGGACTGAAGCCGTGAAAAGAACTGCGAGCCTCTAATTATTCTGTAACATTTGGATAAAATTGGGTCCTAAAAATGTGCAATTTTACAATGGAGCGTATATCATTTTCAAAATGGAGATGGGCTTCAGGACTATTATTTAGGGGGTGATTATCTCTGGATAGAAATCACCATCGGAGTATTCCAAAACAAATGCACAGAGACTGAAAGATATTGAAATTTCACGTGCGTCTCAAACACCTTGGAGAGTTGTGAGTATTTTTCCTGATTTTGGGAAGTTGGGGTATTTATCACTGACGTCTGTGGCAGTTTATTTACTGATCTCTAACATTCTGCGCCAGCGTTTTGCAGCACGCGCCATGTGACGAACAAAACAAAACGGCGGTATTCGACTATTCGTCTGCTGTCACCAATCGGTCAAAAACTCTCTTATTGATTGTACATTTTCGTTGGAAACAATCGATACGCCGGATTGTTCAACTTTACACATAGGCGAAATTTTGGCATTCGATCTCCTCCTTGACCTAAATATCTTGACTGTTTTATAAATATTTGACAAAGGCCTTGATACGTTGTGGAAATTAAGAAAAAATGGATGTAAATGTGAGGAGAAAATGCAGGACGCCTGGAAAGAGACTGGTCCGTCTTGGTTGGGTTTTTTTAGTGAGTGTACGTTTTTCATTGTAATATCATTCATCATTCCGTGTCAGATTTGGCGTGTTTTTTCGTTAACTGTGGAGAGACGAGGTCAGAGACAAGGGCGGGCTCTGCCCATCCTCTTTATTATTAACACGCCAATCTTTCGGAGGGTTCCGTTTACATTTTATTACTCAGTGGAATCGTGGGAAATTTGTAAACTTTTCAATAACCGACCGACACACCACATGTGTATTGGTCTGGCGCCGCTTGGTTCACGCACTTTCATAAAAGTGTAGGCAATAATTGCAGTCTCCAAGCGAAAGGCGAAAAGTAGATAGGTCCTTTCTGTAACGTTGTTACTACAGCTTATTCCAGGAACGTTTTCGCCATTCGGAATCAAGTTATTCTGCGCACTCCGGACCAGCTTGCCTGGGATTGTCACGTCTCGTTGTCTCTCACTCCCCAATTACTCGCTAGCCAAATCCTTGGATTACTAATACATAACTAAAATCTTTAAGATTTTGCTGTTTTATCGTAACTTAAAAGTGATTTGGAATGGAATGCTCAGCTGAAAAAAGCTTGAATGCCTGGGTCTGACTCGGTCGATGAAACGTCTAAACCTCCAAATTATCCCGTACCCGTTTATTGTTTTACAAAAACATGGTAGCCAAATTTGCCAATCGCCAGGTTATTCCACATTAATGATCGAAATGACGTAAGAGTTCTTAAGTCGACCCATCCGGCACGCATAAAATTTGCATGCTAGGACATATCAGGCGTTCAGCCGTGTGGTCTACAGACGTGAATCTCCATACGACAAAAGAGCTGGTATGAAGTCGCACAGAAGTCTGGCATCATCTTGTATATAAAGTGAGTATACAGTGTTTAAACGTCGGTGAAGGGCAAAACCTTATTTGATCATCTTGTATGCTGACAGCTGAAATTTCGCAGTTTAGTTCGGCGCCTTTGTGCAAGATGTACATATTAAAGGCAAAACAGTGCAATGTTTCCAAGTCGTTGTAGTGATAGCAGTTCGTTTTGATAATGCCCTCTTTTGGTGAGAGATCGTGCATTTAATATATAAACAACAACGTCTTGACCAAAGAATAGCTTCGCAGTCACAAATTTACTCCGATCAGAAGCAAGACTTCTTGGGAATGGGTTCACGGATTCTTCTTCGCATAGCTCACTTAGCACTGTCAACACAATACAAACTCGAAAAGCATAAGTCGTTCAGACAATATAAATTCTGTAGTTATCATTTCTTTTTATTTATTTGACACCTCAAAACTCAACTTCAATTGCTTTCAATCATTTTGGTCCATCAACCACGAAAGGTAGACCTTTTCCTCGCATTTGGGAAGGTCTGCTTCTTCAGACAATCAGTCATGTACCCACTTTTGTGGCATTAAAAGAAGGACCACAAAGATGACAACAGGTGTTTTACAAGGTCAAATAAAGAGCAGCAATTGTCCAGAAAGCACGACAGGAATGGTATTGATGATGCCCACATGGCTTCTAGGTCAAGTGTTGCACAGAACATAGATCGATGTAATTATGAAACTGTGAATAATAATATTGCCATGTAATTTGTAGAACTTGAGACATTGTCCTTTGATGTAATTGTCAGTATTCGTTAATTGTAATGTTGGTGGATGTCAGGCACAAGAACTTAGTGATAATATTTATTGCTTCGCACTGACGTGGATCGCAACTACGGGATCGTCGTTACCCGAGCCCGCGATGTCAAACTTGGCATACCCGTTGTTGTCAACGTAGACCGTGGGTCCGGTGCATTTGCCGTTGTTGAAGTCTCCCAAGATGATGTTGCAGTAGGTACCGGAGGGAAGGCCCGTCTGCAGGGTCTGGCTCAGGGAGTAGTCCTCGTTGTTGATCACGATGAAGCCTTTGTTGCCGCGACCGAAGGCAATCTGGTACCAACCGTTGTCCCACCAGTTGGCGAAGGCCTGGCCAACCGTCACCCGTCGGAAGTCCACCATGTTCTTGATTTGCCTCCAGCGATGCTCGCAGATCCAGCCGTTGCCACAGGTGTTGTCGGCGTAGAAGATGGGCGATATGATGTTACCAGCTGAGTCGCGAGGCGGACTGCTGTTCGGGTCACTGAAACCGAAGCTACTCATGACGCGAGACAGTCCGTAAGGGTGAGCCAGCATGAAGGCGTTTGCCATCTTGTACAGCCTGGAATCCTTGTGGGTGATGATGCCGCCTCCACCTCCGTGACCCCTCTGGTTGTCGTGGTTGTCGACAAACACCATGGAGTTGTAGTCCGGAACGAAACCCCAGGCTTCGCCGAAATTTTTGAAGTACTTGAGTGGATTCTGCCGATGAAAGCCCTCGGCGAGCTTGATGCCATACTTGAACTCCGTCACCCTTCCAATGTCCAAATACTCCCATGAAGACACGGCCTCCCCACCCTGGTCGATCACCTCCTGGACGATGAAGGGACGGGCGTTGCTCGGGAAGCCAAAGTTGGTGTTGAGGTTCTTCAGCCGGTTGTAGATGGCCTTGAGGTCACCCGGCCACATGTGTTTGGCGGCGTCCAAGCGGAAGCCGGCCACTCCCATGTCGATCAACCTGTTCAGGTACTCAGCGATCTTACCCCGGACGTAGTCTTTGCCAAGATCCAGGTCCTTCAGGCCAACCAGGTCGCAGTTGCGGATGGAATCCACGTTGCTGTAGTCGATGCCGCTAGGAGTTGGGCATTTACCTTGTGGGTAGTTGAAATCATACTCCGAGAAAGGCACTCTCCAGAAGTCATACGCTGTCGAGGAAGGAAAAGGGGTAAACGCAGACCATTAATTCACTATCTGGCAAATTATCACATCGGCAATTCCAGTGTTATGCATTATCCGTGACAGAGTATTTAAGAGCTCAATGGATAAAACCTGAAAACGTATTTTTCAAATCTTATACATGCACCATCTAGTAAAGGTCAAGGAGATTACAGTCTAGGAGTTTCTGGCTCATTTTTCTGGATCAATAATTGGATGTCGTGGTTAATTGGCTCTGTCGCGGACATTGAGTTACACTTCCTTTCATAACTCAGAGAGGTTTTGGAACTGATGTGAAATTGAAAGTGTTGCCAGTCAATGGTGTCAATTTGAGTTTTAATTTGTAGGACGATGTGATTCTGTAAAAGGAAGTGAAATGGGATAATTGGGATGTGCTTTTGTCCGTCTGGCACATCTTGCCGGTGTTTGCGCTATACTCATGAACAGGTGCGCCGCGTCAATAACGATCTGCAACGTGGATCACTCGTCAGTATCAAACAGCGCCATCTACCGTTCCGGCACGAGTCCAAACAGTTAACGCTGAATGTACTTACGTCCACTGCCATCGGGAGTGTTGGCTGCCATGTGATTGATGACAGCATCCACATAGATGCGGACGCCGACCTTGAAGCATCGGTTCACCATGTCCTTGAACTCGTTTTCGTTGCCGCTACGCGTGTCCAGTCCGTAGCCGATGGGCTGGTACCGCTCATACCAAGGGCGTTCGGGCGTAACTTTGAAGTTCTCGCTGGGCGGGGAAACCTGGACACCCGCAAAGCCATGAGGCCCTAGCCAACTAAAGGTGGTAAAAAGAAAAATACATACATACAATCCCAATAACATGACAATTTCTTGAAATGAGAGATGGGTGAAGTTGTTTCAAATGTTCTGTAGATGAACAATGTCCTCTGATATTTCCAAATGTATTTCTGGACACGAGTCGTATCTTTTCTTACGTAGCCATGTGGGTCTAAGATTTAATGGAAAGTTCATGAAACAGGCAAAAAGCATCCATCAACATGTAGCAAACAAAAGCTTTTTTTCCCCAATGAAACTCCAAATAAATGATTTCTTACTTTTCACACTCGTTGGCGATATCCTTCCATTTCCACTCGAACAGGTGCACGATAGCCTGCCTGTTGTCCATGGTGTGGGCGTCCCACTGGGCGACAGCCACGCCCAGGAAAAGGCAAAATACCCATAAAATAGCCATCTAATTGTAAAAAGAAAGAGAAGTCTCTTAGGCATTTACATGCATGATTCCATGTTCTCGTTGAAGAGGGTAAAGTTAGAGTCTTAGTACATCTAGGATTAGGCCTACAATGCCATGGTCAAACAGCTTTTTACCTTCGAAATAAAAATACGAAACGGGATATTAACGAAGTCATTTTTTTCTATTTCGCCATTAGGAAAGCATTCTTAGAATAATCACTATCATAATTTACGTACACTTTTTTAAATAGTGAAAATAATTAGCGAAGTAGTAAACAAACAGATGTTTTTTTTTCTATGCCTTTATCGCATCATAAAAAGGGATGCAGTTGTGAAAATATGTAACGTTAGCACAATGTGAAACACTAGGGAGAGTAGGGATGGGAGGGTCGAAGCACTCATGGTGGGTGACTAGAGCGGTAGGTGGGCGTAGGAAGGCAGATGGAGAGGTGACTATACATGGTAGAGTAATTGGGAAATGAGGTGGAGGCAGTCGGGCAAGCAGGGGAGAAGGGGACCTGGACAGGGAGTGTATGCCCGGAGAGGAAGGATCAGGCTGCAAGATGTTTACTAGTCACCACGCAACAGGGAGATAGACATGATATCAGGCAAGAACTTGTAGAGGGGCTCTCAGTCAAACAAGTAGGTTTTTAAGCTTTTGGATAGGAACGGGAGAATGATGGCGAGGTATAATGGTGATAGGTAGATCAATATGTTGACGTGCATTGTGGTGAGAGCAATGGCTTATTTTGGTTCCAAGTTTCAGAGGAAACCGTGGAGATGATTTTCTGAAGGGGCGCTCATTGGGTTTTAAATAATAAAAAAAACTCCGTTTTGCCTCTCCTGCATCCTTAGTGGGAGGTGGGGGTGCAAGGGTAGAGACAAAGCCTTCAAATGGGGGGTCGTGCTAGCGCAACTTGGTGATGGCAAGGAAACAGACAGGTGCACACAGACATGCGGAAAGGTAGAAGAGTATGCTGTCAAGAAAACACAAGAATAGAGCCATCATATCTTACAGAACTCGCACTGTATTAAAAGATGTTTAAAATATCAGACTTAGGCCAACTTTACCTTTCTCGCTGCTCTTGCTCGGTTCTTGACGCCGGAGACGAGATGAAAATCTCCCGACTCATGGGTCGGTTTTTATACAAAATGAAACCCTCACAAACAGCCTCGAAGGGAGAACGGGGATATGCAGCCTTTATCACAAGAGATATCATTTTCATCCGAATCTCATTGATTGACTTGTCGTCAATAAACTAGTTCAAGTTATCAAGCGTGGGTGATGGAGTTCTAGAGACCTCGATTTTTAGGGTGTAGTCTTTATTCAAGACCAGTTCGCGTTTGCATCCACAACTCCTGAAGGCACGAACTCGTATCAATGTCATGTGACGAATAGGTTTTTTTTCAGGGCGACTAACTATATCGCAAGTTATTTATATCGAACCAACTTCTACCTGCAGATCAGTTGGAGTTACACGGTATACTACGAGAAAATTAACTTACTGTTGGTAACTGCTCCCTAACTTTCTTCAACATTAGGGGCCTATAGCTCTAAAAAAAAAAAAAAAAAAAAAAAAAAAAAAAAAAAATTACTAAAAATATATCGAAGTCAGACCCTTTGAGATTATTAGTTTATCAGAGGTTTACAACACAATTGACGTCACCGAAGGTATTTTTGGAAAAATATTTACATATGCTCTGAAAATATGGCAATTGTTTTTCAAAACCAAGTTCCTAAATCAGGTCTGTCAATTAATATTATCAATGTATGTCAAATGACTCTGGAATAATCGGGAATATAGAACGCACACACTGATTAGTTGAAGTGTTGACATGAAAAGACAAAAAAAATAGCTGACTCGCATACGTGCAGTATTTTATTTGAAGCGCCATTTTAACGCTAGCGTATAATAAAAAAAATAATGCAATTTTGTGGTCTTACTCTTTATTTATACTCGAGTGCAGTTTAATGTTACGGAACTTGATAGTTAATTATGTTATCTTCATGTTTGAGACAAAAACCGATAATCAAAGAAAGAAGAAACCGAACACCCAAATCGAAGAGTGTAGTCTTGGGGTTGGTGTGATTATTCTCGAAATGGCCAATGATGAAAACACATTAATAAATAACACTCAAAAGGTTGTTTGAGTTAAGACAAAAGTCTGTGGATGCACCAGAGTCTCTTAAACTGCATGGTATACATAGTGTTTTGTTAGGCTAAAATAATCTAGCTACATGAATGACTTATAAGTAAATGAAAAATCATGGTCTTCTTGCTCACAATCATAGTATGGCCTTTTAAAGAATGTTCATGCCTTATTTGTCCATTTTGAAATATCGAAACAAACAAGTGCATCGGGTATTAATAATGAAATTGTAGGTGTACTAATAATACGACGATGCGAAAACACATCTGGATGAAGACGGTAGCCAATTTAGGTTTTGTGCTGAGAATTTGGAATAAGCACAACAGCTGTTTTTACCTCGAGCCAAACCCGATTAGAGTATCCATGTTAATTATTAATATCAACAATGACCCTACGGTGTCTCTGATGATGCACCTGTATATTATAACGGTTATAAAGTCGCATCACTGTCGTAAAAATCAACAAAAAGCTGACAAAGGATATTGATTTTTTTGTAATATAAAGCCGATAGAGAAAGTTATTTTAATCGTTTTGCATAACGTGCACCGTACCGACATTAGGTCAAGGATTTATTTAAGGTTTCTTGAAAGAGAAGTATTGTATCACAATAATTTTTAAAACGATGTTCTGCCCGTCCCTCAAGAAAAAAAAATGGTCAATGGTATGTGAAACAGTTCAATAGCATATCAGGGTGGTGTGTTTTTTTTCAAAGCAAGGACCAAGCCTTTTCTCGTTATGCTCTTCAAAATTATATATAGGTCGAACGTTTGAAAGATGTCAAACTTTCTTTTCCCAGATTGTTTTGTAAATTAAAAGTCGCAGAGAAAAGTTACAGCGAGAGAGTTTAGAAGAAGAGCCAACAAAAGGGAAAGTAAGATTTACCAAATACAGGAAAAGAACAACTTTGACAAGATTAATTATAGATAGAAATTGATGGACGGCTATATGGGAGCTCTCCCAAAGCGGATGAACCATTAATATTCCGATGGTTACGAAGAGCCATCACATTTTGCATCGTCAATAGAAAAACCTACCAGAGAATTCAGAAAGAGCGGTCACAAAATAAGTCTGTTTTTCATTGTTCAATTTCAAATACTTAACATTATGCCTATTCATCAACTGTTCATACTGTTTATTGACATTTTTTACGTAAGTCATAATACCCTTGGGAATGAAGAACCCCAAAACATATGTGAATGTTTGATGTGAAACTAAAATCTGCTTAAATTGTCCTAAAAAAATAAAACGGGACTTAAAATCATACCTGTGAGTATCAAGGATAAAGAAAGATAGTAGCTTGTCTTGTTGAATTAAAAGAGGACAAGCAATTATAGGATTAACTTAACATGCCTATAAAAGAAAACATCCGCAATGGCCCTGCCAGTTGGTATTCGTGGAATCTGCATCCCTGTTCCCTTTCTTGAGGTAAGCTTTTAACTTAAACTTTGTACGTGTTTTCTGCAAATATTAAAATCGTTAATGTGATTTTACGCCTTGGAATTAGGTAGCGCTGCCAAATTACCAAGACTGACTTTGATTTGTCTTGTTGATAGAATCCTCAATCGGAGCAATAAACCGACACATTTCCAAAAACTCACAACTCGCTTTTTAAATTTCAGCACTTTCTCGGCATAATGAGGAGCATATTGTAATACAGAATCCTAACGATTCAGCCGGAAATGTCGGCGTCTATTTTTAAAAGAAATTAAAGGCATTTTAACAGAAACCGAAGAAGGGTACCCCCAAAAACACCTCCTATACAGACAATTTTGAAATCTGGTAATTTTCTTCATATTTCAGATGAGGACTCTGTGTTTGTTGGTTATTCTCATTGGCTCTGCCTTGGGCCAATGGGACGCCAACACTGCCTACGACAGACAGGCCATGGTTCACCTGTTTGAGTGGAAATGGACCGACATTGCTGACGAATGCGAGAGGTAGGCTGAATGAATTTTCATTTTAATTATCGGGGAAAAGTATCCATTCAGTATAGATACTTGAAAGAAAAGCTATGGTTATGCCTATTCTGAAAATATCGTGTAAGGTAAACATGTGACTGACACATTGACAACCAAGAACGTCTTTGTAGAGGGAATGATTATAATGCTTAAGCCGAAATTCTTATTAAACTGTATTTTCCCTAAATAAAAATGTGCATCTTATCTGATATTTGCTTTTATTTGGAAAAATGTTTTGTTGAGTACATTTATCTGATATCTTGGTGTAGAGAAGTTTTTCCCTTGTTCCCCGAGTTTTCCCTTTTTCAATTAAACAAAATCCGGACACGTAGGCCTCCTGTAGCATTAAACAACATGTATTCTGTGGTCTCTACATGGACGTTTGAAGCAAGCACGTAGCTGTTATCATTGGCCAGTAAAACTTTTCTAATAAATACCTTTGAGCCAAAGTTCAATCTGAATAATGATTTTATGAAACCTTGTCGGTGAAAATTACACCTTAGGTTACGCCCTCCGAATTTGTCAAGTTTGACTCACAGAGACAAAGATAAGTAAGATTTGCTGCTTTGCAGGTGGAGATACTAATGAATGAAAGATTTGCGGAGACACCATGTGTGAATAATTTCTCAACTAGGAGAATGGTTCTGAAAAGAACTAGAAGTATAAACTCGACGTTAAGGTCAGTATGCTCTGACCGTCAGTATGCTCTGACACTCTCCTGAAGACGGTCAGAGCATACTGACCGGAACGGCGAGTTTATACGACACCAATCAGATCCTTCAAACTTGACCAATATTGAACCAGTAACAGCAAGGCTCAGAATGCATGTTTCCATAGGAGGGTTAATCAAATTGGAAACAATACTCACTTGTTAACTTTATCACCGTTGACTACAGATACCTGGCACCCAATGGCTTCGGCGGTGTCCAGATCTCGCCCCCGTCCGAGCACCGGGAGGTTTGGAGCCCCTGGCGGCCGTGGTGGGAGCGCTACCAGCCCGTCAGTTACAAGCTGACGAGTCGCTCAGGCACGGAGAGCGAGCTGAGGGATATGGTCATGCGGTGTAACAACGTCGGAGTCAGGATCTACGTGGATGCTGTTATCAATCACATGGGATCGGGAGGTCAGTTTCTCTGTTCTCATTGCTTGGCTTCGTGACCGAAGATTTCAGGAGGACGGTGTATAGGTCTAGGTCCAATAAACAAAATAAAAATAAATGAAATCTCAATCGATACTCAGTCAACAGCAATATCCATAGCTCTATTTCGCAAGCATTTTTGGGTGCATGTTTTCTTTCTGTGCAAATACTTTTAGGCTTGGTAACTTACTGTGAAATTGACCCATGTTGTAGCCTGCTGGTGGATGACAAGTCCCTTTTCAGGACATATTTTTTTGGGGGTGGGGTGGGAAAGGTTTTTTTGTGATTACTGGCGATTTCTTAAGCCTCGGGCCGTACCTATTTCATCACCCTTCAAGAAATCTGTTTGTGTGACTTGCTTCATGCAGGAGTGAATATTGAGTGAAATATTTAGATTTAGTTACTTTTTTGTTGTTCAGATACTGGCTACGGCACTGCAGGTAGTTATTATGACGCTTCAGCGTTCAGTTTCCCCGGCGTACCCTTCGCTAGCTGGGACTTCAACGTAGCCAACGGCAAATGCAACTCCAACAGTGGAGACATTGAGAGCTACCAAGACGTCAACCAGGTCCGCAACTGTAATCTGGTGTCTCTCAGAGACTTGGACACCTCCAAGTCCTACGTCAGGTCCAAAATTGTCGAGTTCATGAACACCTTGATTGACATTGGTGTCGCTGGCTTCCGTGTGGACGCCTGCAAGCACATGTGGCCCGGGGACTTGGGCGCCATGTTCGGGTCACTCAACAACCTGAATACGGCCTACTTCCCCGCAGGATCCAGGGCGTTAATCTTCCAAGAGGTCATCGATCAGGGAGGGGAGCCCATCACAGCGGGTGAGTACACCCCCTATGGCAGGGTCACCGAGTTCAAGTATGGGCTGAGAGTGGGAGAGGCTATGAATGGAGCCAACAAGCTAAGCTATTTCAGTAACTTCGGAGAGGCTTGGGGCATGCTGGCTGACGGCTCGGCCTTGGTCTTCGTGGATAACCACGACAACCAGCGTGGTCACGGCGGCGGTGGAAGCATCATTACTCATGAGAGTCCTCGCCTGTACAAGATGGCCAACGCCTTCATGTTAGCCTTCCCTTACGGCTTCGCTCGTGTCATGAGCAGCTTCGACTTTAACCACGATACTGATGCGGGCCCGCCAGCTGATGGGAACGGTAACACGCAGTCGGTCACCATCAACGCAGACGGAACATGCGGGGGAGGCTGGGTGTGCGAGCATCGCTGGAGACAGATCAAGAACATGATCGGGTTCCGCAACGTCGCTGCCGGTCAGCCGCTCTCCAACTGGTGGAGTAACGGCAACCAACAGATCGCCTTTGGTCGTGGCGACAAAGCCTTCATCGCCATCAACAACGATGGGTACACCCTGTCTGAGACTCTCTACACTGGCATGCCGTCCGGGGAATACTGCAACCTCATCCTGGGTGATTTTGATTCTTCTTCTAGTTCCTGCAGCGGTCCCACGATCCACGTTGACGGGTCAGGTAACGCCTACTTCAACGTCGACACCGGGGATGACCCAGTAGCGGCCATTCACGTCAGTGCGAAGGTTGGCGATTCCAGCAGTTCTCCTTCCAACCCTGTCAACCCTGTCAATCCTGTCGATCCAGGATCCCCAGTAGGCTACCAGCGCACCGTCATCTTCATCAAGAAGCAAACGATCTACGGTCAAGACCTCTTCATCCGCGGTGGGATCGACCACAACAAGCGAAGTGGCTGCACTTCCAACGCCGACACTAGCGCCTGTGCCTTACCGATCAGTCACAACATCGGAGGCACCAACGGTCAGTTCAACGCCTGGTCGTCCGGTGACGATTTCCTGGACTGGTACGGAGCAGAGGGCGACCAGAGCACCTACCAGGGAAGCACCCCTGACGGTACGCCCCTTGTCTGGACCACAAACAACCCTAGCAATGGAGCCAACGTCCAGGCTAATGGCTACGGCTACACTCCGCTCAACAAGTGGGGTGATCACTACTGGATGGTTGACGTGGACATGGATTGCGACCAGACGGAAGGAAGCTGGTTTGAGGTCAAGGCTTACCTCAAGAATGGCGCCGGGTGGGAGGGTGACATCGGACAGGGGTCTTGCTCGGGCTCATCTAGCGGGAGCAAGCCTTACTCCAGCAACAACCATTTCGCTAGATGCGGCTACTTAAATGTGTTCGAATTCGGTTCTAGCTCCTGCACCATGGAATCTCTGTAAAGATTCGGTTTAACTTTTTGTTAAATTTCATTGATCACGATATTCATTTACAATGTGTCTGGGCAAATATTTTGCTATGTGATGTATTCATCAGAAAATTTTCAACACCTTTCAGATTTTTAAAACTGCGTGGACAAACTCTTTTAATCTTAATTACCTCGGAAAAGTAGGTCATTTTATTTGCTGCAGTGCCAGAAATTCCAATTTTTATTCCTTATTCCTAGTTGTTTACATAATAATTTCATAAAATAAATGAACCAGCCAAATCAGGAGCTATTTTTACATATTACTTTCGTGCAAGTTGATGATTGTCTTTATTAACCAATGAAGCTACTCCCTGTGATATCTTTGCAAACAGAAACATCTTTTAAAGCAGTCAGCCAAGACCAACCTAGAAAAAAAACCCCAGTAAAGTTTTAGAAATAAAACCACACACCCCAAAAACGGAACATTACGCAGTTTTTGTTCAGTGTTATATCAAATAAACGTGACAACGTGACTGCTCACATACAAAGTCAAAAGACCAGAATAAATGCTTCCAACCCAATTTAGGGTTAAATCCTTCATACATTAAAATACTGCATAAAAATAGCGTTGGTGGCGTAGATTGTCAGTAATAGCAAGTCACAGTGTTCACAAAATTAGCCCATCGTCTTTATCTTACTCAATAACGCCATAACTTGTTTGCCTTTCTTTTTGCACGCATACCCATTTTCGTTATCCGCAAGTTGAAGATCGTATCGAGACAACTCTCTTTAAAGGTCGGTCAATAAGCTGTCAATTTTAATCACCTGTCAATTTGTTTCACACTTCACAAAAGAAATTAAACTTCATATTGTAGCCAGTTGCAAGTTTTCCCAGAATACTTAAAACAACCTAAATCAGCACAAACTAGTCTTGGGTTTTTTGTGTGGATATATATAGAAGCCACGAGTTGTGGCAAACATCGAGATAACACAGTTCATAAACCCGTTTCCGCACGCGCAATTGGCACTGTGCTCGTCAAAATTTTCCTTTCTATTCTATTTTTATATTCTTTTCTTTTCTTTTCTAGTATCGCGAGTAGTGGTAAGCAACTCCTTATACGGAGACTGGCTTGCGCGTCGCGCGCACTGCGCGATGTGGCGCAGAACGCAGCTGTGCCGGTGTGCTGTGAAATTAGGACTATGACATGCTGGCTCACTGCTTAGCTTGCGCATGCCTAAAACGGTAGAAGGCACCGGATTTCTTAGGAGTCCAAATTTCTTAGGAGTCCAAAAGACCAGCAAGCCGGTCTTTATCGTCCGTTTAAAACCGGCCACGTGTCTGGCTCTCGACCAATAGGAATGGCTAAACTGTCTAAGGTATTTATGAATGGTGATTTACTTGTGATGGACTTGTGATGGACTCGACTACATCCGAGTTCCTTCCAGTTGCAAATTGCTACAGATTTTTGTAGGTTTCGGTTTTAATTAAAATCTTTATGCAAACACTTTATATATTTTTTGTATTGGTGACAGACAAAAAAAAGGAGGGCGCTGTTTGGTTGTGGTGAATTTGGGTAAAGTGCAAGAGTTTATCCAAACCAAATAGCGCCTCCCATGGCGTATATATTTAGGTGCGTTGGAGTAGCTCACCCGGATCGACTCGGGTGAAGCTATAGGCAGACGGGTTAGCCACGACAGCCGGGCTAATCAAACGCTCACCCGCGGGCCATCACGATCCTCACGTGACGCCCGTAGCTCTGGACGTACGGCCGTACCCACTGACAAAACGCCTGTTTCGGATTGGGACTTAGTTTGAGATTTACTGCTTTTCAGTCAATTGCAAAACTCAAAACAGTTGGGCCCGGCCGGATTATAGCCTCAAAAGTTGCAATGAACTCAATAAATGATTACCTTTTAGACTATAAATAAAGTAAAAAATTTGAGATTCCCGCTATCCAGCCGCCATATTTGTCCATTTCTTGGAATGAACAACGCATGCGTGTGACGTATTTCCACCCCTGACTCTACTCACAAGCAGGGCGGCGTAATTTTTATTCCTAGGAGGGTTAGGGGCAATGTCATGAATAATTCATGTTTATCCATGAGAACGGACAATGACATCAACAGCATTGTTGTTAGTTACTCAACTAGTTACAATACATTAAAGCATTTTAAAGAACGGTGGTCGTCGAGCTACCACACAGTAGCCTAGTGGATAGCGAGATGAGCTATGGATACAAAGATCCCCGGTTCGAATCCACGTCTTCGCTGCTCATTTTCATCAGCTATTTTTCTTCACCAAATTTATCACTGAGATAATTTTAAATTAAGGGGAAAATAGAACGAGAACCTAAGTCTTGCAATGATTCAAAGGAAAAACTGAATTATTCATGACATTGCCCCTAACCCTCCTAGGAAAAAAAATTACGCAGCAGGGTCTATGGTGGCTGAGCCCCGAGAATGACGTCAGAGCTAATCGAACGGCATGGGCTGACCCGATTCGACCCGGGTAAGCTAAGCGAACGTAGCCATTATCTCATAAAGGCTCATTATCAGCCATCCACTATTTGCCAAGAGCGCCACCACAAAGCACAGATGAAAAGATTCTTGCACATTGAGCTGGGGGTAGTGGTATTTGCTCATGCAACGGAATCGAAAGAAAATTGCGTATATTGGCTGCAAACAAAAAATACCAGACGTTTTCGTGTCTTCAGGTTTAATATTAAGTAATTTAAAGGCCTTTGTTTTTATTCAGATTTTATTTTTTCTTCCTTTTTTTTCCTTTTTCTTTTTGGGACCCAAAATCCCATAGACTTTGTACGCGTTTAATGCGGGCCCCCACTTTTAAATTAAAACTGAGTCATATCCCAACGAAACTTAACATGGAAAAAGACCTTATAGGTGAGACCTTTGTAGAAGAATGACGTCATCATTACGTCAACATGGGTCACGTGACGTCATTTTAAATTTGCATATTTAAAAAGTCCTATATCTAGAGAACTGTAACTCCAATTGGGTTGAAACTATAGGTAGTTCGGGATGTGTTATATTATATTTATACTTTTACTACTTTTACATCTTCTTCTACTAGCAAAATTTGACATAAAATGCACTCAGATTGACTTCAAACTATAGGCACGGACAAAGTCCCCAAAGTTAGGTTGACCCTAGACAAGTTATTTTATGATGACGTCATCAATGGTCTTATGAGGTCATCTTAAAGGTGTATATTTTAAGATTTTATACCTCGAGAAACTGAAGTCCGATTGGGTCGGAACTTGGTCTGAACGTAGACAGGTACGTGTTACAGACAAAAATTGATTGACGTCATGATGACGTCATCATGGGTGCCGATATGTCACTAAAGGAAGTCTAATTCACAAGTTTGACAGTGAGTCAGTCAGTGAGGGAATCGTTTAGTCAGTCAGTCAGTGAGACAGGTCACAAAGAGGACTGGCCCAGCAAAATCCACTTAAATTTTTTGTTTCACCGGGCTACCGTATTTCTGCTGACACACACTGCCTGCATTAATTGAGTGTTCAAGGGCAAAGGTTTCATAGGCTCACTGGCATGGATAACCTAGTAATTTGAAGTGAAACTTGTTTTTCAATAATAACCTTATTTATGCGGGTCCATGATCAATGAAAGATCAAGAAGAGAGCAATATTGGAATCGCACCCTAATTATCTCCTTGCATCAAAGAGTTTCGACGAATGCAAGATGATAAAAAAATCCCTAGAACTGTCCAGGTACGGTGTGGAACATGGCGGGAGGGGGGGGGGGCTGGTACTAATTGCTTTTTCAGAGTGTTGCTTGTATTCGATATAATTTAATGCATACTTGCTATTTCGGAGTGTTGCTTGTATTCGATATTATTTTATGCATACTTGCTATTTCAGAGTTACTTGTAAAGCAATTCTTTTATTGAATTCTTTTGCCACAAAGACCAGGTTTGCCCTCGATCGAATACAAAAGCCGTATTCAAAAGGTTTATCTCAGGCCAAGGAGACATTTCAAAGTTGTATTAGTCACACTTGCGGGGATTCCACTTACTTCCACAGGTTACCTTCAACCTTTTAACGGTTGACTGAGTGTATAGAGTTACGCTCCATTCATCCACATCGTGGTAAAATGAAACGGAAAATGGATCAATGTCATAAAAAGTCTCACCAAATATCCTACAAAAGAAGCCGGGGTGGTTATTGGAAATTCATTTGTGTCCTGCAGACGGGGGTTTGGCAGGGTGCAGCTCTATTTGTCAGGCTCGCCTACACAGACATTACTACAGAAAACCTGCCCCACTTGCGCACGTATAGGCCCAAGCCGAATACTCTGCACTTGAACGTTGGTGCAGTGTGGTGGACCATGGCGCGCCTGTTGCTGCTGCTTTTAGCGGCCATGTGCTCGGCGGCTTCGGCCCAGTACTGGGATCCGAACATGGAGGAGGGCCGGCAGGTGATGGTCAACCTGATGGCCTGGAAATGGACGGACATTGCCGATGAATGCGAGAGGTAGGTGGAGTTTAGCAAAGTTGTTTTATAACAAAGTTTATCGGCAGTACATAGCTACGTGCACAGATCAGCTGTTCCTACTTCCAATTTAAACCACTTAGCTATGCCCCACATTTTGGTGAGGTGGTACTATATACATGTACATCCAATTTAAGTGCCGTTCAAGAGTATTTAGCCCTATCAAGCAGTTGGTGGTATGGCAGGGGCGTCCCATACATGTATAGCCATTTTGTGTCCATAAGGATATGAAAGCACACGAACTTCGCAACCGGTTCTTATAGTAATAAACTGAACGAGATAAAAACACACCTGAGACCTGTTTTAAAATAACTTTCATATCCACCCAACCTGCGGACCAAAAGCCCGCATAATGCTTTGCAGCTACACGTACTGACAACATGTTTTAGTGATATTCCTTGTATAGAGCTCTTACACAAATACCTCTGAAGTAGACATTCCGTTATCATGAAGCAACCTTAAGTCCAAAAGTTGACTATGAATAGTAATTGATCAAAACGTGCTCAACAAACCGAACTCTTTAGAGTTTATTTCTTAATATACGGTAAAGGTCGCAACAAAATGTGGACTCTCTGTATGCCTCACAGCTGATCCATACTCGGTATTTACGTGAATTGTTCTCGCGTACATTTTACTCAATTGTTCAACTCAACCACAATTTCCTACTTCCTTTTAAACCATCCAGTCATATATTTCCTTGTTGGGTGGTTAACACTGAAAATGTTATCAGCATAACGCGATCATTATAAGGCAAAAGATATTGTGATAGATGGTTGAATGTTATTTGGCTATATCAGATGGATTATCGTGGAAGTTTTCAGGCCCAGTAAAGTAGAAGAATTTTTCTGCCATCTTGGAAAATCCTCCATCCTGGGGGGGGGGGGGAGGGGAGAAGATAAAAAGGCCGCCTTTTTTTTTTTTTTTTTTTTTTAACAAGACGGAGAACATTTGTTTTACTCGGCCTAATATTTATCAGCTAAGCTGCTGTGATAAGATTCGACATGACCGTCAATCGATTCGCAAAGCCAGTCCTGGACATAGGATGACGGTGTACAGTTCAGAGTTGAAGTATTGGTTAAATAATTTTAGAAGATAATAAAGTTTATGCATGCTGGGAGTCATTGACCATGTACTCGTTTACTACAAGGAGGGTGAGGCCATTGGCGGATCCAGGATTTTCCAAGGGGGGAGGGGAGGATTGGCTGGGGTTTCGAAGTCCAAGACCTTATATAAAAAGTTGGGGTGGATGAGGCACTGCAGTCAACGCATATAAAGAAAATGACCTGAAGCAATGTATCAAGATTTGCAATAGTTAGTGATGACATTATTCAGGGAACTAAAGGACTATTTAAATTGGAATTTTATCCAAATATTTAACATTGGTCATTCGGCTGAGGGATGGTTACAGCCATCGCAACGTATCATGCCCTTGGATCTGCCCCCGGAGCCCGTGAGATTTATCAGAAAAGAGACCTTTTTTTCAAAAATGGGTGGGACTGGGTTCTCGTGCGAGGGAGTAAATATACTCGAACGAAACACCATTATTGGAACTTAATTGAGGCCGCAGGTTGCACATGCCAAACGAAGAATCTCTCGCATCCTGTGGTGGATCACTCCACGTTCAGCCGCTGACTAATGTTACGATACTTTCAAAATGGGGCCTAAAATAAAATTTAAAAAGAATGCTTAAGTTCCAAAAATAATGTTTTCTCAAATTGCCTTAGAATGCAAGAGTAAGCACCGTAGATTTTTCGGAGGCATGCCCCGGACCCCATAGCACGCCTTCACTCAGTTCAACCCCTCCATAATTATCAACACCCCCCCCCCCCCCCCGTTTCCGGAAAGCTAGATCCGCCCCTGGCATCGGTACTGCGTCGGCTGCTGAGCCTATACACGTTCAAATCAAATGGAGTAGCCGCAGCTTGTCAGCCCAGCCAGGCTCATTTTCAACCCATCAGTGTAAAAGGCCCTTAGCTTTCTCAGTCCTTGGACCAACTCAAAATTGCGCAACTTGTTGTTTCCGTGCGAGTGTGCTTCAGTTGGATTGCTTGGCATATTTTGTTTAGCAGGGTTGCTAACAAAAACCCACTGTTTGACTATAGACCAATCCGGGCACTCTTTCACTTCTATCACGAAGACACCTTTGATGGCGAGAGCATATTGTTTGCTGTTGTTAAGATAGTCTAGTCCGTCACGGGGTAGCTGCTTTGTACAATGGCGCTCACAATCATGGTTTTTCCATTGAAGGGGCGTCGAGAGTGCTTTCATTACGCGCCCGGTTTCGTCTATAATCAATGAGAGCTACAGCTATAGTGAGGCGTAACTTTTACTTTGCTCATTATACCTCTAACTTTTTGGAGCTCTCATTTTGGAAAACAAAAACAAAAAAGAACAAGCGCAAGTGCCAATATGCTCTGGGCCGGTTCCGGAATGTCTCACTTCATACGCAAAATAGACGCGCATGCGCATCGATCGAGACAAAGGGGCGTGTTCCGAAAAATTTTGCCAAAAGTGCATTTACTGGCGACGGCATTGCATTTGGTCATTTTTTGGTCAATTGGTAGTTATATTTTATGGGGAACTTAGAGGGCCCATTTTTGGTAAATTTTGCGGGGACAGACCTATCGACCGACCGACCGAGCCAGATCTCAAGAATTGTAGGGTTGATGACCCGGGCCCAACTAGACCTTATTATAACAGCGCTAGGAGAAAAAATCTGAGCTAATCCTGTAAGCACAGAAACCTTAGTTATACGGAGAGTACGCAATGTACATACGTACATGTGTAGCCCGTCAAATATGCTAACCGTAAGCACGGAATTTTCTTCTACAATAAGCGGGGATTTTTCGAAATTGGTATTGGTAAGCAGATTCGTAAACTTAGGTACCGGGCCCAACACTGCCGCGTGCGCACAACCCGTAAGCAGGGAGTGTCGAAGTGACCTTTACCGCATGCACGTTTCGCGAAGCATTGTGTTTCCTTCAGAAAAGTCTGCGATAGAGTTTAGCGAGTCACAAGCGACCTTGAATAAAGCGGTTGGGGACAAGAGACACATTTTTCGAAGGCGGATTGCTTCCACGAATTCAGCGAGCAGAAAAAGATATCGGATGGCTTTATACAAGGCAAGATCACGCGATAACCATGACCTTGTGCACACAACGCTGAACTTCCCTGTGCATGTGCCAGCAAACCATCACACTGGAAAAAGATGTGGCGATTTTAACCGATTACAATCTCACTCTGATCTTTTAAATAACTTATACTCCATCATTTTGAACACAATTGTTTCCATTGCATTTCTTATTTTGTCAATGAACAGTAATGTATCTCTGCAACTCAAACTTCCAGTCGCCAGCTTGTATACACGCAGGGGCGGAGGAACCGGGGGAGGGGCAGGGTGTCACTCCCCCCCCCCCCCCCCCCCCCCGTTTTCCCAGGCCAGTAAAAGTGCCCCTTTCGCGGCTATTAATGTGCCCCCTTGAGATAAAGACAAAACTGCCCCTCAAACGCACACGTATGAAAGGATATGATTGCGCTACAAATACAATTGTCTTCTCTCTTGCAATGCAAAACTTCCCCTCACAAACTCAAGTTGTACCCCTCTCGCATTAACAAGATTGCGCACCTTATCGAGATTGAAAATTACCCCTCGAAAACAAAAATACCCCTCTCGCAATGTGCTAGATGGAAAATTGGCCATCAAAAACAATAGTGCGATAACTACTCGAGATGGAAAACTGCCCCTCGAAAGCAAAGTTTTAAAAATGGTCTCTCTATATATACATAACTCTACTAGTTACTAACAGAAACACAAAGAGCAAGATGGACAACGTATTCATAATTTGTCTCTCGTCATGTAGGTTTATAGCGAAATGAACGGGACCATATTCTTTTCCTCTACTTTCACACCGACGGAAGGTGCCCCTTGTTTCTGAGCAAGTGCCCCTTTTTGGTGTTGCCCCCCCCCCCTCGTTCTGCCGCCCCTGTATATACGATTGTAGGCTGGACCCGAAAGTCCAGCCTTTCATGTCCTCTGACTGACTGACTGACGGTCACAGATTGACTAAGCCAATGACTGAGTCTCGGACTAACTGACTGACTCAATGAGTCTCTGAGTATATAAAAAAATGACCTAAACTATAGTTTTGATTGTTTTTCTTTCCGAATTTAAATAAACGAGAGAAGTCATCCGTCCTTTCACTGAGTCATCCAATACTACAGAACATCTGGCAACGTATTAGCCAATGCCTACATACATCAAAACAACACGTACACCATGCTAGGGTTACAGAAGAGCCGCCAGCATACGTTACCGTTATTGTCACGGATCTCCGTCCATATCAAGTTTAACAGTTTTAACCAAATAAATAATGCAATATCTTTGCGGAACCTATCAGTACGAGTGTCTGCAAAGATGCAACACACTATAGCAGATGGTTCTAACGTGTCGTGTGAACCTCTTGTTGGTATAGTTAACGCCGTCTGGTTTATCCGATGTCGATCCCATCAGACAAGAACGGCACCGCGCCTTCTGTCCCAATTAGAATTAATCCCACTTAAAGTTAAGGCCTAGTTCCATTTTATATAACATGGCATTATTTATTTTGTTCAAACTAAATTTCAGCCAACGTGGCGCTTCCAATTAATTTTTCGGAGGTGTATAATGCTACCAGAACATAGGTTTATTGGCAACGAGATAATGCCCGCTGAAGTATCCTTGGAATGAATTACCAAATGCACCGTGTGGTCTTTGTCACAATTTCAATAATAAACTAGAATTGTGTTTGTGGACAAACACGTAGCTGTTTAGACAATTGTTTTAATGACATCCGTCATGTAGAACCTCCATCCAAATCGGATATACATGTACATGTGCACCAAAAATATTGGGCTGTGAAGAAGTGAATTTGGTTCTAAATTAGCAAAATTTAGAAATCAATAAAAATTCGCATGATGACGTCATCATGACGTCAGTTTCATTTCAATGTATAACACATATCTGACAATGTATTTACACATTTTCAACCCAATTAGCTTTCTAGAACTCTGAAAATAGAAATTTAAATCATGCACTTTTAAGATGACGTTACATGACAAATGATGACGTAATTACGACGTCACTTGTTTAAGAACAATATTAGCTTGGGGTCTTGACGAAAAAACCTTAACGAAAACAAGTGGTGTTTCGGTGTCTACCAAAACAGCTAAAAAAATAATAATGCCATTATCGAGATCGTGGCTGACTATTAGCAGTATCGATTTAGGTTCTTTATATAAAACTCAGCCGCAGTGGCGCTTCATCAATTGCTTTCATTTTGCCGAGGTTTTTAAGCCACCAGGTACATGTAATAGTATATTGGCTGTGACATTTTTATGTCAGCTACATTGTTCATAAAATATCCGCCAAATTGTTACACTAAAAGTCTTTTACTCAATTTTTTCCTCAACATGATCGATCTTTGAGCATTGAAATCACCACATAAAGCTCAAAGGGCTGGTAAAACTCATTTAGTCATTCAGACATTCTTTTACAGCCGTGCGTCTCAGAAAGGTCGTAAGATCCACATAAAATGCACTATCCATAACAGTTGTTATTTCTTTAAAAAAACCAGTAATGCTCGATGGAAAATAAACCGTCAACGAAAAACGTACAAACACAACAGGTGCGCTAAAAGAAAGTATCACTATGTGTATAGAATCAGGGTCGTCTGCGGGTTTTTTACGAAGTTTTCTAACTAAATGGACCTTAACTAAAAACTGTACGATCAATGCCCTTACTGCTAGAAATATAAAGGTTCGCACAAGTCACGAATTCCAATTGAGTGCCAGTTAAATAACTGGCACGATTTATTATTTACGATTTATCAAGTCCAAAAATGGACAGCAAAAATATTGACCCATGTAAGATCTTGGGTTGGTCGCTTGATCCCCCCACCACCATCCCTAACTAATGGCCTGGGAAATTCATCAGAAAGGCAAACGTTCAGCCTCGCCGACGGTACAATTTTTTTTAATTTTTTTTTTACCTTTGTGTTAGTTTCTTTCACTCTTTCCATCAGTCTCCTAAACGATAAACAACCTGTCATCCCGTTGAGCGATCACGTACATTTCTATGGCGTGGGGGCCGTGAAACGAGGACAATATCTTCTTTTCAGTGAAATTGTTGGTTTGTTGAACTCTATTCAAATTGGTTTGCGCAAGGTTAAGCGCCGCATCGTGCGATCACCATCCTTCATTGAGATTCGTGCAGAAAACGCGATTACCCTGACTGGGGTCGAAAGCCTTTTGTGGCCGAATCAATTGAAGCCCTTTCAAGCAAGGAGAGTTTACCTGTTCACGACCGGCCGTCATGAGTTGCGCCAAACTAAGTTATACCGAAGATTAGCTTAGAATTAAAGGGCCCATGTAATGTAATTTTTTAATGCAATCCTTGAAAACGCACCTTTGTGTCCCATTTAACCCTATTTGCAATTTTCACTTTGCCATTTTCAAGGGTATTTTGGAGCCTTTTGGGTTGTTATGCTAATGCGAATTTCCATATTCATAACCAAAATATGGGATGTCATTTCAAGCAGAAACCTCAGTGTTGCAGCTATTTCTGCATCACAAGTTGCCAGAATTTTGGATTCTTTGCTGTCCTTAATGTTCTTTTCTTTGGTGAATCGTTGTTGTGTCAGTACATGACAATAAGCCAATGAGCACACTTTTCTCCCAATGCTCCACTGAGCACAATTTTGGATTCACAATTGTAACAGAAAACCCCTAAACTGAACAGTGTCTTCCTGAAATGGCATCACAGCAACAGCGCCCTCAGTTGTCTGGAAAAGCATGGACGATTTTAATTGTCTTATAGAAGTGCACTTTTTAATCAAATTAACAAAACAGGGATGTCAAATACTTTTCATACATTTAAGAGGAGTAGAAAGTTGCACAAAATATGTTCCTAAGAAAAATTCATTGCATGGACCCTTTAAGTGCAACATTTCGAACAATTCCTCAGTGTATTCAATGACAGGAGTGCATAAAGTAATTCGCTTGTACGAAAGCAAATTACATGTTGGTTGAATTGAGTCGCTCAAACTACAATTTGGTTCGCCGTGCGACTCTGGAAATGAAGTCACTCTGATACGGGTGTAAGGAACTCCATTCAGGGACACAGAATTCCCCCATCCTCCCCCCCCCCCAAAAAAAAATTCCCAATCTGTCCAACCGCAAAATTTTACGAATAGCGATATCGATCCCCGTATAAAGTTGCAATTACAAAACAGAGATTGGCTAAAACGAATAATTGTTTAATACGATCCCAGATAATACCAGTTTTAGCACTGAGGTAACATGTGGAAGTATAAGTAAACTGTACAGTAAGGTCTAAAGTGGATTACAATAGGACCGATGAGATGTCCTTGGAAATGCGAAGAAAACAAGTGCAACTTTAATGCAACAGTAAAGCTGCCAATAGGGCATAATAACCGGGAATGGAATTTTAAAGGTCCCAATTTAATTCTTTGCTGGATTTTATTCCCCGATTGAACGGGGGGGGGGGGGGGACATAGGTAGACGGAAAGACGACACGACCACTTACAGACGGGTCTCTTCAAATTGCTTTTGATTCGAAAAGTCAATCCAGTTCTAATAAAGTCGTATGTTTCCTATTGAAGTCGACATGAATGACTTTGCTCAATAAGCACTTAATTTTTTTTACACAGACAGAGCTTCAGTCGGCTGATGAATCAAGTTTAGGCAGACATAATATTCCATACGATACCGGGTTGCATGTTTGTGAAACAAACAAAATGTGTTCTACTGATATGAGCGCGCATATACATGTTTATAACACCTCACCCACAGATTCTGTGTCTTGATTGGCTGAGAGCGAGTCACATGGTCCTTTCTATTTTTGATATCTTTCAGTGCACGGCCAAAAGTACTATGCCCGTAGCAAACAAAGTACTATATCATTAGCAAACAAAGTACTATACCATGGCGCAGTATTTGTGTGCAAATGCATGCTGGTGTGCGCGTTGAGCAATGCGCGTGGCGCGTATTTTTCTCAAGAGAGCACGCCACAGAGTTGGGTTCAAACATTTCGTGAAGGGGGGGGGGTTGGAAGAGAGGAATACATTTCCCACCAATTTTGTATTAAAATTGAATTTTATTTTAGTTGTGTTCAGATTTAAATAATGTAAAATATTAAAACCAAGCAGAATCTGTGGGTGAAGTGTTATAAAACAAATATTGAATGCTTTATCTCGTGGTGAAGTAAAACTAGCCTCCCTCGGTGATCCATGGATCATTCTATTTTCCCTCGGCTTCGCCTCGGGAAAATAGAATGTCCATGGATCACCTCGGCAGGCTAGTTTTACCACACCACTCAAAGCATTCAATATTTGTATACTGTTCCTTTGATGTGCAGGTATCTTGGTCCTAACGGCTTCGGAGGCGTTCAGATCTCGCCGCCCAACGAACATGCCGTGTTGGAGCATCCATATCAACCATGGTGGCAGCGCTACCTGCCGGTGAGCTACGAGCTCCAGAGCCGCTCGGGCACCGAAGATGAGCTCCGGGACATGGTCAACAGATGCAACTTGGCGGGCGTCCGAATCTACGCAGATGTTGTCATCAACCACATGGCCAGCGGAGGTAAGATGGTGGTTGTGCGGAATTCTTCGAAAGCCACTGAAACAGTAGCCAATGCTCGATATCGTAATCAATTTTATATCTAAATATTGCACTTAGATGTGCAGCATTATGTGCACCAAGGTCAACTGTGGTCCAATGGGGGCGCTGTGGTCCAATGGTTACGGTGACCACAAATTCGTATCCTTGTGGAGACACACACACACAATAGGGAACAAAACATTGTAAAGGTCTCCACAGGGCAATTTCTATAGATGAATAGGTCTCCACAAGGTTTTCACGAAATAGATATATGGGTTTTACTCAAAAACTAGGAATTTCCAAGGTGGGTTGATCCGTCGCAAATGGAAGAGTTTTAGAAAAGGGATATCAAGTCCAAATTTCAGCCAAGGAAACTGATTCTGGTTAAAATAAGAGCATTTTGAAACTTCACTTTCAAATTGAACACTTTACTACACGAGAACAAAGAAATGTCTCCACAAGGATACAAATTTTAGAATGGGTGTTCGACTTGTGTGCCGTGGTACATGGGTTCGAATCCTGGCAGTGGGGACATGGTGCTTGTGCTTTTGAGCAAGGCACTTTACCATTATTGCTTCTCCTACGGATGGGATGTAAAGTCGTAGGTCCCGTGTGTTGTGTAATGCACGTTAAAAAAAAAAACAGTAACACTTGTCGCTAAGAGAAGGGGTTTGCCCCGGTGTTTCTGGCAGTGGCTGCAATATGCGCCGCAGCACCTAGCAAAAAGGTGCTACATGATTGGTCTCATATGTTCATATAATCATTACCTGTCTTTGGTTGCATTCTCCCCGGCGCTTTGTATCCTTTGGAAAAGGCGCTTTATAAATATGGTAATTATTATTATTTACTATTAACTAGAACTGCTAATTGACACTAAAATGACTTCTTTTTTGACCACTTTACCAAAAAAACCAAATTGTGAGACTGATTTACCACAAATTCTTTGTAACTTCTTAATACATTTTAACATTTTTTTTAACAGAAATGGCAAAAGGTTCTGCTGACAATTTATACGACCCCAAAACATTGAGCTATCCACAAGTTCCCTATGCTTCCGAGGACTTCAGTGTTTACAACCTTAAATGTCCAAGCAAGAGTGGCGGCATCGAAGACCACAAGAATGAAAAGGAGGTCTTCAACTGCAACCTGGCCGGTCTTCCTGACCTAGATACCTCCGTTCACCATGTAAGGTATACCATTGCCAAGTACATGAACACGTTAATCGATATTGGTGTGGCAGGTTTTCGTGTAAGCAACGCTGAGCACATCTGGCCGAGCGACCTGGCTGCTATTTACGATTCTCTACATGATTTGAGCACAACCTTCTTTAAGGCCGGTCGCAGACCGTTCATATTCCAAGAAGTTAACACAGTGGGCGCGAATGCTGACGTTATCAAGCCTATAGAGTACCTAGAGATGGGAAGCGTGACTGAATTTGAATTTGGTCAGATTGTGTCAGAGGCTGTTGGATCTGGAGGCTCCAAGATGACACTGTCCGACTTAGGTAATATGGAAGATGAGTTCTTCCTGATTCCAAGCTCCGGCGCAGTAGCATTTGTGGACAATCCCGATACACAACGCGCAGATGCCATCACCTACAAGGAGTCACGTCTGTATGTGGTGGCGAACGCATTTATGTTGGCATATCCTTACGGTATCACTCGTGTAATGAGCAGTTTTGATTTTGGCTCGTATGACGAAGGCCCTCCATCGGACGAAAGTGGCGCCATCCTGTCTCCAATCATCAACGAAGACGGTTCTTGTGGAAACTGGTGGGTTTGCGAACACCGTTGGCCGCCGGTGAAAAACATGATTGCTTTCAGGAATGTTGCAGATGGTCAACCGCTTTCCAACTGGTGGAGCAACGACAATCAGCAAGTTGCTTTTGGTCGTGGTGATAAAGCATTCATTGTCCTGAACAACGAGAAGGCCAAGTTCTCTGAGTTTTTGTATACAGGACTGCCGTCTGGAGAGTATTGTGACATCATCAGTGGTGACTTTGACTCGCAGTCCCGCCGGTGCATTGGACCGGTAATAAGTGTTGACGTCAACGGCTTTGCTACTTTCACTCTGAATGAGGGTGGACCTCCTGTGGCTGCAATTCACGTTAACGCTATCGTCAGTGACAAAGACACTGAACAAATCGTTCCTGACAATGACTCTCTACCCCCAACTGAAGCTGTGGATGTGAGTAGCCCTGATATGAAACGCACTACCATATTTATTTATAAACCAACAGCTTACGGTCAGAATCTGTTCTTACGCGGCGGTATGGGCGAAGGATGCACAGATGACTGTGATGTCCCTATCAGACACATAACACCTGGTGACAATGCACAGTACAATGCCTGGAAGACCGGTGATAACGTCCTAGATTGGTATGGTGCAGAAGACGGACAGGACACTTACGAAAACATCTCGGCTGAAGGAACACCACTCGTCTGGACCACAAATGACCAAAGCAACGGCGCCAGCGTGGCCACAGATGGTTATGGCTATACGCCTCTGAACCAGTGGGGAGATCACTACTGGATGGTCGATCTAGAAATCGACTGTTCTAAGACCAATAGTGGCTGGTTTGAGTTGAAGGGATTCCTGGTGAACGGAGGATGGGAGAATGATGTTTCTCAGGACGAGTCGTGCCAGGGACACCCTGGAGGAAATAAACCATCCACAGGTGGCAACCACTTTGCAAGATGCGGCTTCGTCAACGTCTTCAAGTTTGAGGAAAGCGAATGTACTATCGACGGTTACACACAAGAGCCAAGTGAGATGCCTAGTGAGATGACGAATATACCACCAACCCCACCTCCGATTCCACCGATTCCGCCAACTAGCCAAATTCCATCCAGTGATACAACTCCAAATCAACCAAGTGCTGACAATCCATCGGGTGATGAGACAAGTCCTTCCGATGCGAGTGCTCCTAGTTCCACGACAGAGCGTACCACGATATTCATGTACAAGCCAACAAATTTCGGTCAGAATTTGTTCGTTCGTGGGGGTCTTACCAAGGACTGCGCCGATGACTGTGATGTCCCCATCACACATATTACACCCGGCGAAAATGCACAGTACAATGCCTGGAAAACCGGAGACAATAACCTGGACTGGAATGGTGCAGAGGAGGGACAGAATGCCTACGAAAACATTGCAGCTCAAGGAACGCCTCTCGTCTGGACCACCAATGATCCTAGCTACGCCGCCAATGTGGACGCGGACGGTTACGGCTACACGCCTCTTAACCAGTGGGGAGATCACTACTGGATGGTCGACCTGGAAATCGACTGTTCCAAGACTGACGGTGGCTGGTTTGAGTTGAAGGGATTTCTGATGAACGGACAGGGATGGGAGAGTGATGTTTCTCAGGACGAAACTTGTCAGGGCTCCGCTGGAGGTAGCAAACCATTCACCAGCAACAACCATTTTGCAATATGTGGCTTCGTCAACGTCTTCAAGTTTGATGAGAATGAATGTACCATTAATCAATACAAACAGGAATCCAGTAGAGCCATTCAGAGCGACTCTGGTGCAACCCCAAGTGCTGACAATCCATCGGGTGATGAGACAAGTCCTTCCGATGCGAGTGCTCCTAGTTCCACGACAGAGCGTACCACGATATTCATGTACAAGCCAACAAATTTCGGTCAGAATTTGTTCGTTCGTGGGGGTCTTACCAAGGACTGCGCCGATGCCTGTGATGTCCCCATCACACATATTACACCCGGCGAAAATGCACAGTACAATGCCTGGAAAACCGGAGACAATAACCTGGACTGGAATGGTGCAGAGGAGGGACAGAATGCCTACGAAAACATTGCGGCTCAAGGAACGCCTCTCGTCTGGACCACAAATGATCCTAGCTACGCCGCCAATGTGGACGCGGACGGTTACGGCTACACGCCTCTTAACCAGTGGGGAGATCACTACTGGATGGTCGACCTGGAAATCGACTGTTCCAAGACAGACGGTGGCTGGTTTGAGTTGAAGGGATTTCTGATGAACGGACAGGGATGGGAGAGTGATGTTTCTCAGGACGAAACTTGTCAGGGCTCCGCTGGAGGTAGCAAACCATTCACCAGCAACAACCATTTTGCAAGATGTGGCTTCGTCAACGTCTTCAAGTTTGATGAGAATGAATGTACCATTAACCAATACGAACAGGAATCCAGTAGAGCCATTCAGAGCGACTCTGGTGCAACCCCAAGTGCTGACAATCCATCGGGTGATGAGACAAGTCCTTCCGATGCGAGTGCTCCTAGTTCCACGACAGAGCGTACCACGATATTCATGTACAAGCCAACAAATTTCGGTCAGAATTTGTTCGTTCGTGGGGGTCTTACCAAGGACTGCGCCGATGCCTGTGATGTCCCCATCACACATATTACACCCGGCGAAAATGCACAGTACAATGCCTGGAAAACCGGAGACAATAACCTGGACTGGAATGGTGCAGAGGAGGGACAGAATGCCTATGAAAACATTGCGGCTCAAGGAACGCCTCTCGTCTGGACCACCAATGATCCTAGCTACGCCGCCAATGTGGACACGGACGGTTACGGCTACACGCCTCTTAACCAGTGGGGAGATCACTACTGGATGGTCGACCTGGAAATCGACTGTTCCAAGACAGACAGTGGCTGGTTTGAGTTGAAGGGATTTCTGATGAACGGACAGGGATGGGAGACTGATGTTTCTCAGGACGAAACTTGTCAGGGCTCCGCTGGAGGAAGCAAACCATTCACCAGCAACAACCATTTTGCAAGATGTGGCTTCGTCAACGTCTTCAAGTTTGAGGAGAATGAATGTGCCATTAACGAATACGAACAGGAATCCAGTAGAGCCATTCAAGCGACTCTGGCGCAACCCCAAGTGCTGACAATCCATCGGGTGATGAGACAAGTCCTTCCGATGCGAGTGCTCCTAGTTCCACGACAGAGCGTACCACGATATTCATGTACAAGCCAACAAATTTCGGTCAGAATTTGTTCATTCGTGGGGGTCTTACCAAGGACTGCGCCGATGCCTGTGATGTCCCCATCACACATATTACACCCGGCGAAAATGCACAGTACAATGCCTGGAAAACCGGAGACAATAACCTGGACTGGAATGGTGCAGAGGAGGGACAGAATGCCTACGAAAACATTGCGGCTCAAGGAACGCCTCTCGTCTGGACCACCAATGATCCTAGCTACGCCGCCAATGTGGACGCGGACGGTTACGGCTACACGCCTCTTAACCAGTGGGGAGATCACTACTGGATGGTCGACCTGGAAATCGACTGTTCCAAGACAGACGGTGGCTGGTTTGAGTTGAAGGGATTTCTGATGAACGGACAGGGATGGGAGAGTGATGTTTCTCAGGACGAAACTTGTCAGGGCTCCGCTGGAGGTAGCAAACCATTCACCAGCAACAACCATTTTGCAAGATGTGGCTTCGTCAACGTCTTCAAGTTTGATGAGAATGAATGTACCATTAACCAATACGAACAGGAATCCAGTAGAGCCATTCAGAGCGACTCTGGTGCAACCCCAAGTGCTGACAATCCATCGGGTGATGAGACAAGTCCTTCCGATGCGAGTGCTCCTAGTTCCACGACAGAGCGTACCACGATATTCATGTACAAGCCAACAAATTTCGGTCAGAATTTGTTCGTTCGTGGGGGTCTTACCAAGGACTGCGCCGATGCCTGTGATGTCCCCATCACACATATTACACCCGGCGAAAATGCACAGTACAATGCCTGGAAAACCGGAGACAATAACCTGGACTGGAATGGTGCAGAGGAGGGACAGAATGCCTACGAAAACATTGCGGCTCAAGGAACGCCTCTCGTCTGGACCACCAATGATCCTAGCTACGCCGCCAATGTGGACGCGGACGGTTACGGCTACACGCCTCTTAACCAGTGGGGAGATCACTACTGGATGGTCGACCTGGAAATCGACTGTTCCAAGACAGACGGTGGCTGGTTTGAGTTGAAGGGATTTCTGATGAACGGACAGGGATGGGAGACTGATGTTTCTCAGGACGAAACTTGTCAGGGCTCCGCTGGAGGAAGCAAACCATTCACCAGCAACAACCATTTTGCAAGATGTGGCTTCGTCAACGTCTTCAAGTTTGAGGAGAATGAATGTGCCATTAACGAATACGAACAGGAATCCAGTAGAGCCATTCAGAGCGACTCTGGCGCAACCCCAAGTGCTGACAATCCATCGGGTGATGAGACAAGTCCTTCCGATGCGAGTGCTCCTAGTTCCACGACAGAGCGTACCACGATATTCATGTACAAGCCAACAAATTTCGGTCAGAATTTGTTCATTCGTGGGGGTCTTACCAAGGACTGCGCCGATGCCTGTGATGTCCCCATCACACATATTACACCCGGCGAAAATGCACAGTACAATGCCTGGAAAACCGGAGACAATAACCTGGACTGGAATGGTGCAGAGGAGGGACAGAATGCCTACGAAAACATTGCGGCTCAAGGAACGCCTCTCGTCTGGACCACCAATGATCCTAGCTACGCCGCCAATGTGGACGCGGACGGTTACGGCTACACGCCTCTTAACCAGTGGGGAGATCACTACTGGATGGTCGACCTGGAAATCGACTGTTCCAAGACAGACGGTGGCTGGTTTGAGTTGAAGGGATTTCTGATGAACGGACAGGGATGGGAGAGTGATGTTTCTCAGGACGAAACTTGTCAGGGCTCCGCTGGAGGTAACAAACCATTCACCAGCAACAACCATTTTGCAAGATGTGGCTTCGTCAACGTCTTCAAGTTTGAGGAGAATGAATGTACCATTAACCAATACGAACAGGAATCCAGTAGAGCCATTCAGAGCGACTCTGGTGCAACCCCAAGTGCTGACAATCCATCGGGTGATGAGACAAGTCCTTCCGATGCGAGTGCTCCTAGTTCCACGACAGAGCGTACCACGATATTCATGTACAAGCCAACAAATTTCGGTCAGAATTTGTTCGTTCGTGGGGGTCTTACCAAGGACTGCGCCGATGCCTGTGATGTCCCCATCACACATATTACACCCGGCGAAAATGCACAGTACAATGCCTGGAAAACCGGAGACAATAACCTGGACTGGAATGGTGCAGAGGAGGGACAGAATGCCTACGAAAACATTGCGGCTCAAGGAACGCCTCTCGTCTGGACCACCAATGATCCTAGCTACGCCGCCAATGTGGACGCGGACGGTTACGGCTACACGCCTCTTAACCAGTGGGGAGATCACTACTGGATGGTCGACCTGGAAATCGACTGTTCCAAGACAGACGGTGGCTGGTTTGAGTTGAAGGGATTTCTGATGAACGGACAGGGATGGGAGACTGATGTTTCTCAGGACGAAACTTGTCAGGGCTCCGCTGGAGGAAGCAAACCATTCACCAGCAACAACCATTTTGCAAGATGTGGCTTCGTCAACGTCTTCAAGTTTGATGAGAATGAATGTACCATTAACCAATACGAACAGGAATCCAGTAGAGCCATTCAGAGCGACTCTGGTGCAACCCCAAGTGCTGACAATCCATCGGGTGATGAGACAAGTCCTTCCGATGCGAGTGCTCCTAGTTCCACGACAGAGCGTACCACGATATTCATGTACAAGCCAACAAATTTCGGTCAGAATTTGTTCGTTCGTGGGGGTCTTACCAAGGACTGCGCCGATGCCTGTGATGTCCCCATCACACATATTACACCAGGCGAAAATGCACAGTACAATGCCTGGAAAACCGGAGACAATAACCTGGACTGGAATGGTGCAGAGGAGGGACAGAATGCCTACGAAAACATTGCGGCTCAAGGAACGCCTCTCGTCTGGACCACAAATGATCCTAGCTACGCCGCCAATGTGGACGCGGACGGTTACGGCTACACGCCTCTTAACCAGTGGGGAGATCACTACTGGATGGTCGACCTGGAAATCGACTGTTCCAAGACTGACGGTGGCTGGTTTGAGTTGAAGGGATTTCTGATGAACGGACAGGGATGGGAGAGTGATGTTTCTCAGGACGAAACTTGTCAGGGCTCCGCTGGAGGTAGCAAACCATTCACCAGCAACAACCATTTTGCAAGATGTGGCTTCGTCAACGTCTTCAAGTTTGATGAGAATGAATGTACCATTAATCAATACGAACAGGAATCGAGTAGAGCCATTCAGAGCGACTCTGGTGCAACCCCAAGTGCTGACAATCCATCGGGTGATGAGACAAGTCCTTCCGATGCGAGTGCTGCTAGTTCCACGACAGAGCGTACCACGATATTCATGTACAAGCCAACAAATTTCGGTCAGAATTTGTTCGTTCGTGGGGGTCTTACCAAGGACTGCGCCGATGCCTGTGATGTCCCCATCACACATATTACACCCGGCAAAAATGCACAGTACAATGCCTGGAAAACCGGAGACAATAACCTGGACTGGAATGGTGCAGAGGAGGGACAGAATGCCTATGAAAACATTGCGGCTCAAGGAACGCCTCTCGTCTGGACCACCAATGATCCTAGCTACGCCGCCAATGTGGACGTGGACGGTTACGGCTACACGCCTCTTAACCAGTGGGGAGATCACTACTGGATGGTCGACCTGGAAATCGACTGTTCAAAGACAGACGGTGAATGGTTTGAGTTGAAGGGATTTCTGATGAACGGACAGGGATGGGAGAGTGATGTTTCTCAGGACGAAACTTGTCAGGGCTCCGCTGGAGGTAGCAAACCATTCACCAGCAACAACCATTTTGCAAGATGTGGCTTCGTCAACGTCTTCAAGTTTGATGAGAATGAATGTACCATTAATCAATACGAACAGGAATCGAGTAGAGCCATTCAGAGCGACTCTGGTGCAACCCCAAGTGCTGACAATCCATCGGGTGATGAGACAAGTCCTTCCGATGCGAGTGCTGCTAGTTCCACGACAGAGCGTACCACGATATTCATGTACAAGCCAACAAATTTCGGTCAGAATTTGTTCGTTCGTGGGGGTCTTACCAAGGACTGCGCCGATGCCTGTGATGTCCCCATCACACATATTACACCCGGCGAAAATGCACAGTACAATGCCTGGAAAACCGGAGACAATAACCTGGACTGGAATGGTGCAGAGGAGGGACAGAATGCCTATGAAAACATTGCGGCTCAAGGAACGCCTCTCGTCTGGACCACCAATGATCCTAGCTACGCCGCCAATGTGGACGTGGACGGTTACGGCTACACGCCTCTTAACCAGTGGGGAGATCACTACTGGATGGTCGACCTGGAAATCGACTGTTCAAAGACAGACGGTGGCTGGTTTGAGTTGAAGGGATTTCTGATGAACGGACAGGGATGGGAGAGTGATGTTTCTCAGGACGAAACTTGTCAGGGCTCCGCTGGAGGAAGCAAACCATTCACCAGCAACAACCATTTTGCAAGATGTGGCTTCGTCAACGTCTTCAAGTTTGATGAGAATGAATGTACCATTAACCAATACGAACAGGAATCCAGTAGAGCCATTCAGAGCGACTCTGGTGCAACCCCAAGTGCTGACAATCCATCGGGTGATGAGACAAGTCCTTCCGATGTGAGTGCTCCTAGTTCCACGACAGAGCGTACCACGATATTCATGTACAAGCCAACAAATTTCGGTCAGAATTTGTTCGTTCGTGGGGGTCTTACCAAGGACTGCGCCGATGCCTGTGATGTCCCCATCACACATATTACACCAGGCGAAAATGCACAGTACAATGCCTGGAAAACCGGAGACAATAACCTGGACTGGAATGGTGCAGAGGAGGGACAGAATGCCTATGAAAACATTGCGGCTCAAGGAACGCCTCTCGTCTGGACCACCAATGATCCTAGCTACGCCGCCAATGTGGACACGGACGGTTACGGCTACACGCCTCTTAACCAGTGGGGAGATCACTACTGGATGGTCGACCTGGAAATCGACTGTTCCAAGACAGACGGTGGCTGGTTTGAGTTGAAGGGATTTCTGATGAACGGACAGGGATGGGAGACTGATGTTTCTCAGGACGACACTTGTCAGGGCTCCGCTGGAGGAAGCAAACCATTCACCAGCAACAACCATTTTGCAAGATGTGGCTTCGTCAACGTCTTCAAGTTTGAGGAGAATGAATGTGCCATTAACGAATACGAACAGGAATCCAGTAGAGCCATTCAGAGCGACTCTGGCGCAACCCCAAGTGCTGACAATCCATCGGGTGATGAGACAAGTCCTTCCGATGCGAGTGCTCCTAGTTCCACGACAGAGCGTACCACGATATTCATATACAAGCCAACAAATTTCGGTCAGAATTTGTTCATTCGTGGGGGTCTTACCAAGGACTGCGCCGATGCCTGTGATGTCCCCATCACACATATTACACCCGGCGAAAATGCACAGTACAATGCCTGGAAAACCGGAGACAATAACCTGGACTGGAATGGTGCAGAGGAGGGACAGAATGCCTACGAAAACATTGCGGCTCAAGGAACGCCTCTCGTCTGGACCACCAATGATCCTAGCTACGCCGCCAATGTGGACGCGGACGGTTACGGCTACACGCCTCTTAACCAGTGGGGAGATCACTACTGGATGGTCGACCTGGAAATCGACTGTTCCAAGACAGACGGTGGCTGGTTTGAGTTGAAGGGATTTCTGATGAACGGACAGGGATGGGAGAGTGATGTTTCTCAGGACGAAACTTGTCAGGGCTCCGCTGGAGGAAGCAAACCATTCACCAGCAACAACCATTTTGCAAGATGTGGCTTCGTCAACGTCTTCAAGTTTGAGGAGAATGAATGTGCCATTAACGAATACGAACAGGAATCCAGTAGAGCCATTCAGAGCGACTCTGGCGCAACCCCAAGTGCTGACAATCCATCGGGTGATGAGACAAGTCCTTCCGATGCGAGTGCTCCTAGTTCCACGACAGAGCGTACCACGATATTCATATACAAGCCAACAAATTTCGGTCAGAATTTGTTCATTCGTGGGGGTCTTACCAAGGACTGCGCCGATGCCTGTGATGTCCCCATCACACATATTACACCCGGCGAAAATGCACAGTACAATGCCTGGAAAACCGGAGACAATAACCTGGACTGGAATGGTGCAGAGGAGGGACAGAATGCCTATGAAAACATTGCGGCTCAAGGAACGCCTCTCGTCTGGACCACCAATGATCCTAGCTACGCCGCCAATGTGGACACGGACGGTTACGGCTACACGCCTCTTAACCAGTGGGGAGATCACTACTGGATGGTCGACCTGGAAATCGACTGTTCCAAGACAGACGGTGGCTGGTTTGAGTTGAAGGGATTTCTGATGAACGGACAGGGATGGGAGACTGATGTTTCTCAGGACGACACTTGTCAGGGCTCCGCTGGAGGAAGCAAACCATTCACCAGCAACAACCATTTTGCAAGATGTGGCTTCGTCAACGTCTTCAAGTTTGAGGAGAATGAATGTGCCATTAACGAATACGAACAGGAATCCAGTAGAGCCATTCAGAGCGACTCTGGCGCAACCCCAAGTGCTGACAATCCATCGGGTGATGAGACAAGTCCTTCCGATGCGAGTGCTCCTAGTTCCACGACAGAGCGTACCACGATATTCATATACAAGCCAACAAATTTCGGTCAGAATTTGTTCATTCGTGGGGGTCTTACCAAGGACTGCGCCGATGCCTGTGATGTCCCCATCACACATATTACACCCGGCGAAAATGCACAGTACAATGCCTGGAAAACCGGAGACAATAACCTGGACTGGAATGGTGCAGAGGAGGGACAGAATGCCTACGAAAACATTGCGGCTCAAGGAACGCCTCTCGTCTGGACCACCAATGATCCTAGCTACGCCGCCAATGTGGACGCGGACGGTTACGGCTACACGCCTCTTAACCAGTGGGGAGATCACTACTGGATGGTCGACCTGGAAATCGACTGTTCCAAGACAGACGGTGGCTGGTTTGAGTTGAAGGGATTTCTGATGAACGGACAGGGATGGGAGAGTGATGTTTCTCAGGACGAAACTTGTCAGGGCTCCGCTGGAGGAAGCAAACCATTCACCAGCAACAACCATTTTGCAAGATGTGGCTTCGTCAACGTCTTCAAGTTTGAGGAGAATGAATGTGCCATTAACGAATACGAACAGGAATCCAGTAGAGCCATTCAGAGCGACTCTGGTGCAACCCCAAGTGCTGACAATCCATCGGGTGATGAGACAAGTCCTTCCGATGCGAGTGCTCCTAGTTCCACGACAGAGCGTACCACGATATTCATGTACAAGCCAACAAATTTCGGTCAGAATTTGTTCGTTCGTGGGGGTCTTACCAAGGACTGCGCCGATGCCTGTGATGTCCCCATCACACATATTACACCCGGCGAAAATGCACAGTACAATGCCTGGAAAACCGGAGACAATAACCTGGACTGGAATGGTGCAGAGGAGGGACAGAATGCCTACGAAAACATTGCGGCTCAAGGAACGCCTCTCGTCTGGACCACAAATGATCCTAGCTACGCCGCCAATGTGGACGCGGACGGTTACGGCTACACGCCTCTTAACCAGTGGGGAGATCACTACTGGATGGTCGACCTGGAAATCGACTGTTCCAAGACTGACGGTGGCTGGTTTGAGTTGAAGGGATTTCTGATGAACGGACAGGGATGGGAGAGTGATGTTTCTCAGGACGAAACTTGTCAGGGCTCCGCTGGAGGAAGCAAACCATTCACCAGCAACAACCATTTTGCAAGATGTGGCTTCGTCAACGTCTTCAAGTTTGAGGAGAATGAATGTGCCATTAACGAATACGAACAGGAATCCAGTAGAGCCATTCAGAGCGACTCTGGCGCAACCCCAAGTGCTGACAATCCATCGGGTGATGAGACAAGTCCTTCCGATGCGAGTGCTCCTAGTTCCACGACAGAGCGTACCACGATATTCATGTACAAGCCAACAAATTTCGGTCAGAATTTGTTCATTCGTGGGGGTCTTACCAAGGACTGCGCCGATGCCTGTGATGTCCCCATCACACATATTACACCCGGCGAAAATGCACAGTACAATGCCTGGAAAACCGGAGACAATAACCTGGACTGGAATGGTGCAGAGGAGGGACAGAATGCCTATAAAAACATTGCGGCTCAAGGAACGCCTCTCGTCTGGACCACCAATGATCCTAGCTACGCCGCCAATGTGGACACGGACGGTTACGGCTACACGCCTCTTAACCAGTGGGGAGATCACTACTGGATGGTCGACCTGGAAATCGACTGTTCCAAGACAGACGGTGGCTGGTTTGAGTTGAAGGGATTTCTGATGAACGGACAGGGATGGGAGAGTGATGTTTCTCAGGACGAAACTTGTCAGGGCTCCGCTGGAGGAAGCAAACCATTCACCAGCAACAACCATTTTGCAAGATGTGGCTTCGTCAACGTCTTCAAGTTTGAGGAGAATGAATGTGCCATTAACGAATACGAACAGGAATCCAGTAGAGCCATTCAGAGCGACTCTGGCGCAACCCCAAGTGCTGACAATCCATCGGGTGATGAGACAAGTCCTTCCGATGCGAGTGCTCCTAGTTCCACGACAGAGCGTACCACGATATTCATGTACAAGCCAACAAATTTCGGTCAGAATTTGTTCGTTCGTGGGGGTCTTACCAAGGACTGCGCCGATGCCTGTGATGTCCCCATCACACATATTACATCCGGCGAAAATGCACAGTACAATGCCTGGAAAACCGGAGACAATAACCTGGACTGGAATGGTGCAGAGGAGGGACAGAATGCCTATGAAAACATTGCGGCTCAAGGAACGCCTCTCGTCTGGACCACCAATGATCCTAGCTACGCCGCCAATATGGACGCGGACGGTTACGGCTACACGCCTCTTAACCAGTGGGGAGATCACTACTGGATGGTCGACCTGGAAATCGACTGTTCCAAGACAGACGGTGGCTGGTTTGAGTTGAAGGGATTTCTGATGAACGGACAGGGATGGGAGAGTGATGTTTCTCAGGACGAAACTTGTCAGGGTTCCGCTGGAGGAAGCAAACCATTCACCAGCATCAACCATTTTGCAAGATGTGGCTTCGTCAACGTCTTCAAGTTTGAGGAGAGTGAATGCACCATTAACCAATACGAACAGGAATCAAGTAGAGCCATTCAGAGCGACTCTGGTGCAACCCCAAGTGCTGACAATCCATCGGGTGATGAGACAAGTCCTTCCGATGCTAGTGCTCCTAGTTCCACGACAGAGCGCACCACTATATTCATGTATAAGCTAGCCTATTTCGGTCAGAATTTGTTCATTCGTGGGGGTGCGACTGAAGGATGCACTGAAGCCTGTACCGTCCCTATCATACATGTTACACCTGGTAATAATCCACAGTACAATGCCTGGAAAACCGGTGATGCCATCCTAGACTGGTACGGTGCAGAGGAGGGGCAAAACTCCTATGAAAACATCCCAGCTGAAGGAACGCCTCTCATCTGGACCACGAATGACAAAAACAGCATCGCCAACGTGGCCACAGATGGGTTTGGCTACACGCCTCTTAACCAGTGGGGAGATCACTACTGGATGGTCGACCTGGAAATGGACTGCTCTAAGACAGATGGTGGGTGGTTTGAGCTGAAGGGGTTCCTGATGAATGGAGAGGGTTGGGAGAGTGATGTTTCTCAGATAGAGTCTTGCGAGGGCTCCGCCGGAGGCAGCAAACCTTTTACCAGTAACAACCACTTTGCCAGGTGCGGTTTCATCAACGTTTTCAAGTTCGCTGAAAACGGATGCATCATTGACACCCTGTAGTGCTTCAACTGGCCAATTCATAATCTAGGAATTTAACCCTACGTCAGAAGACAAAGTTTCTTTCATCCATAGATATAGATTATTGACAACAGTTCAAATGAAGCTTTAAGCATGATTTTTAGAATATAAATGTTAGTGTCATTCTTTTATGCGTACCGCGTTTCCACTACAAAGCTAGCTATGGTTATTTATTTTGACGTCAATGTAAACCTCCAAAAACACTATCAATTACAAAATATAAGTTAATTGCATAATGGTAAAAAGTGGGGATAAAAACGTGGGATGGTTCCACCCAGATTTTCAAGATGATTGCATGCCATTTTCTTTTTCAAGATAACCAGGACACGTTTGGTCTATAAACGGCAAAAGTAGAAGTCTCTTCCATTATGTATTCAACCTTTTACAGTTTTAGAATATTCACCACAGTACAGTGGATTAAAAACAAAAACTGAATAATGACAGTTAAAAACTGTCCAATATTGTTTAAAATGATTGATGTCATAGCCAAAGTGAATTAAGTGTGACAATATTGGTGGTGGTTTTGATTTTCTCTGTATAATTTCGGGTTAAATTAAGGGTTCGGGCTAAATTAAGGGTTTGTTATAAACTAGCAAAAGTTGATTGGTCAATTGTTTGCCATGGTGTTGGTTAGAAGTGGTTAAGGGTTAATTACATGTAGGCATGTTCAATATTAATTTTCTTTTCTTTATTTGTTTTTGCAATTTTTGGAAGCGGTCACTGTGCGTTATATAAATTGTTGGACACGAGAAATGGCAACTCGTATAAGCCGTTATCTTATTCCTTTCTGATATGAGACAAATACACTGCATGCCCGGTGCTATTTATTGTGTGAGTGCAATCAGTCTGAATCAGTTATAAAAAAAAATCAAATCTTGAATACTTTTAAGTGTGTAGTACTTTGGAAATGTTGATTAGATTAGGCCAAAAAAAGATCTGCTTCCGATTACATGGCATTCGAAAATACGGTAGGTAGGTAGGGAACTTTTGTTTTTTGCCAATTTTTTTGTGTACGATCATAAAGGAGGCGTCTGCGTGAAGTCAAGGGTAAAAGGTATAAAGTGATGGTTTTAGGTGGTTTTTTTTCTCATTTTCCAATAAAAAAAAAACTAGGGTAGGGGCTGTCAGAATAGGGTAGGTAGGGAAGCAGAATTTTTTTTTGGTTTTTGGGCGGGGCCTTATATTGGAAGAACCTCGGTTCGCACCCACCGCCAATTCCACGGCCGCCAATCCCTTCACAAAATACAGTGACGAAAAGGGAGACTTCCGAGGCATTGTGGGTAGCGTATTTATATTGCCATGACGAGTGCAAGGAAATTCTGCCCCTTGAGCAGGCGAAAGTGTTGAACCTGAGTCACTGGATAAACAAAATCTATCCAATGAAAGCTTGAGGAAATTATAGAGTTCATCAGCACTCTTGGATAGCGTGCAAGGCCTGAATAGGTGTCTTGTCCAGTGGGTTTCATTTAGTGTTGTTGACTGAAGCACAATAAAATCATATTTCTCTGCAAAAGAGTTGTGTTTGACAAGACCACTTTGTAAACAAAAAGGGAAAATGCCCAAACAGTTGTTCTTAAAATGGTCATTTTATAAATGTGGGGTCCACTTTTTTCCTGTCCCTGTGACATCATTCTGACATCTATGAATTTATAATTCTGATGAATACCTTGAATGCAGTCGTCCTCCCAGAGTTTGAATTCCTTCTTAATGATAGTTAAATGGCAATGGCAAGAAATTGTGACATGTTGGACCCTAAATTCATAGAATGGCCCATAAGACCTCGCAACATGCATAGCTCAAAGTAGTTAATACAATCAGTTTGATCAAAATTCAATAGGAGAATAGACATGTTAGACATTAAAGATTTCACGCTTTGTTTACATGCTCTTCATGCATGGGAGCCAGGTGAGGGACGACAGTAACCAAGCTCCCATGTGAAAGCACGCATGTAAACAGCGTCATTATGTTTCGGGTCCATCCAACTCCGGCTACATACCTCAACTCTTCACGAACTAGAATGTGAAGAGAATCAAACTGCATATTTAGCGTTGCTGAATGCATAACCAAGCAATTGGCATGGTTCCAGTAAGAAAACAAAGAACGTGGCAAAAGATCGTTAGGCTACGGCTGGTGCACAAAATGCACATTCCCGGCATGGAGTGCTCTGAAACTTGCGAAACTAAATTCAGGCCATCATTACTCACTCTTAAATAGCCAGCACAACTCTCCCAAAATTCCGTTGGGCAAAGCAAAGGTACTCAGTATTTAAGTTTGCCGACTCTTCAATATTTATAGGAGACATTGCTTACATATTTTGAGAGGGAAGTTAAGTGATTTCAAACTGGGGCTATAGAATCCAATATTCTCAGGGGCCCTTAGCAGGCCCCAGACCCCACGCCGCCATGGTCCAACTATTTGAAAAGACTGACCTCTTCATTCAGTGTCATTAGTCCGGCGGTTCAGTATGGGAAATGTGTAGGGGAAAAAAATCCATACTGGGCCACCACTCAGAGCTCCTGCACATGGGCCATGGCAGAAAAAAGTTAAAGTGTTTTAAAATCATTTTTGCACTTCTTAAATAGTGTTTCTTCATCAGGTTCACAACTTTTGGTACTTCTTAGGTCATGTTAAGGGATATGAGTGGTGGCCCAGTATGGAATTCTTTCCTAATTTAAACCCTACCTTGTTGGGTCGAACTCGCTCATAGCACGCCACAAACTTCCAAGGAAAGGCCTATATCTGTCTGGTCGCACATCATCCATTGCGAGTCAGCCATTTTGAAACTTTGCAGTTTGAGCGGCAAATGTTTCCATCAACCTCCATGAGTCCAGTACGGTCTGTCCATGGCCATTACAGTCAGATAAAGGCTCGTATGCATCGTCGGCCGCTGCAGGCAACCGAGAACTGTTTTTTCCCTGTCAAATTTGTCCCAGTCAGATTGACGTTGGCGGTACACGTGCAAAGTGGCATGGCCGAAATACACTAATTGTCCAAAACTGTACATACTAGCGCGCGTGGCAGCGCCCCCACGCGCCGCGCTTATAAAATGTAATTGAGTAACAGCCTTCCCCTTTCGAGTCGAGTCTTTGATTTTAAGGTGTTCCATTTTAGAAATAATTTGAATTTTTGATTGAACGCGCTGGGATAGGTTGATTAGTTTTAACTTGCTGTATCTTTTTTTTTTTTTTATTTCCTTCCTTTTTTTAAATTTCTCTCCTGCTTTCCCTGTAATATAGTGCAAGGTGGTTAACCGAGGGGAACATTTTCTCGGTTTTCCCAAATATTATGTGGTATTTGGAGTTGCAAGTTCTATACTTTAGTTCCATTTTCCCCCCAAGTCAAATCACAACAGAGATTAACTCAACAACAAAAAGGAGTGTTGTCACGTTCAGAATCTGCCACTTTCCACTTGGCAGCAAGGCGCTTTCTGCAGCCGAAAGCTTCTGAAGGAATGCAGAATCACCCCTGATGTCATTACACCCTCCTCGATCGTTTGGCGCAACACAAGATCGAAGAGGTGTGCAGTGACATCAGGGGCGATCCTGCATTCCTTCAGAAGCTTTCACTGTGCGCGCCTTCGCCACCGTCTCCAGCGCTGTATCGACATTTTTTTTCGTATATGGCGTTTAAATCTCACCCTCTCGCACAAAGCTGATGAAACTCGCTCCGTGCCTTCTTTACATGATCGGACATTTTGCTTTTATTCCATTGGTAAACAACAGAGTTATTCTTGCGTCAAAAGTAAGACATAGTTTTTTTCAGTTTTGAAAGGTGAATTCAGCATTTACGGAAAGCGAAGGAAGGAGGGGGAGGGGCGCCCAAAAGGGCGGCGAAATCTGAACATACAAGCGGACATATTATTTGCTCATGTAGGTGAACAATTCTGTCTTTGTAGTGATTAAATACCAACAGAAGAATCAGGGGAAATACAGACAGAGACCTCGAGTGCTAGTTCCAGTATTTCACCAACCAAGTTTGCCGACTCAATTCAATTTTTAAAGGAGGCATTTCTTCAGTATTTTGCACATGAGATGGAAGTCAAGTGATTTCAAAATGAGACTAAAGACTGCATGTCCAACCACGGTCCAACTGTTTGACAAGACATTAGTCTGGTGGCTGACTATAAAGAAATGTGTAGTAAATTGAGACTAGTTCCCGGTACCTGCCACATGTTTTTTTTGGCACAGTTGATTGATGCAGTACATTGTTGGACTTGGTTGTTTATTCAGGTGCCAGTCTGTTTTCTTGTACTGCATGTTATACCTTAAGTTTTGGGACTTTCATACACAGTATTGAAAGTCTCAAATTTTCGGACTAGGAAAAAGTCGAGACATACATTACAAAACAATAAAAAAAAACAGGGAAAATTGGGAGGGGGGGGGGGGGCCACCAGCTGCGCTCCCCTCTGGATCCACTGCTGAAGTGTACTGAACATACAAGTCGATTAACAACTACAGCAAATCACAACTTACACTTCTGGAATTAGTGTGCTTTTAATTCTGACATTTTGTTTATTAAACATTCCCTCTCTACAAATTCATCACAAAACTCCAACCTCTAAACCTCCAACCTTACAAATGGCCAATGTACAAAGTGCCTTTATTTTTTACAGTGGTCTTCTATCCCAACTACATCACTGACAATGAATTTACTGGGGAAGAAAGGAGATTCATTCGACTACTTCTACAGAACTACGTGGAATTTAGTTTTCGGTTCAGTGAAAGAGTACTTTTGGCTGAATGACTAAATTGGACAGAAAAGACAGGAAAAATAAAAGTTTAAGTCACTAAGGACAGGAAAGAAATAAGTGATAAAAACTTTAAGAAGAGAAGAAAAAGGAATTAAGAAGACGAGAAGTAAAAGAGAAAAAAGGAAAAGAAGGCAGTTCTAAATGGTTCACTAAGAAAGGATACACATTCCAAAATATAAAGATACGAAAGAAAGTAGTCAGTTAGAGAAAAACAGTAAAGAACATTACAGGATAATACTGGTTATATAGCACAAATTAGCTTCTTACAAACACAAATTTATTGGCCCTATGCAGCCTTCAGAAAATACCATTCCAACAAAATCAATCTTTTAAATTACACATATTTTTTGTTCTTTTCTTAAATCCATCCCTCCTAGGGAGGTATTTTTTTAAAACAAAAGCAATAGCTATCGTAAACAGTTTCTTCAGGTAATACAGTCCGAGTAATCTTTAGTCAGGGTTTGGTTTTTTTAAAGTGTCCAGCACGTCCGTTTCCGCAGCTGCGACAAGGCACGACAACTCTACTGCTTGGTGTTGCAGTCGCTGGTGCACTTGCATTCATGCGGCAGCTCGATGTCTCTGTACAGGTCGATGGGCTGCGACTTGATGAGCTCGCTGCGGGTCTTCATCTGGGCCTTGGTCTCCTCGACGTTCTCAGAGGCCATGCAGAAGAATGGAACCTGGTGGGAAAAAAAATCAGATTGTTTTCTTAAGAAATGTACACACTGGCACGTTTAATCTATCAGCAGAGGCTTAGTCCAAATCTCGGGTGGGAGGAGGGGGAACAACCTAGGGGATCTTATTTTCTGGAAGGGAGCACTCAATGTGTTAATAACAACAGGCTTTATTTCAAGGGCGGATCCAGAACACAATTTTTGGGGAGCCCCCAAAAAATTGGTCCTCCAAAAAGTGGGTCCAAAAAATTACGGGGTTCCGGGCTCGCTCAAGGGCCCTGAAAAATGCTCTGTGGTGCGATCTGAGGCAATTTCTGACCCGCCCTAGGCTCATTTTCCTCAAAATTTCCTAAATTAGCCCTCTGCTCCAAAAAAAAATGTAGGGCCCATTTTTTTTAGAGGGTCTTACCTTGACAAACTGCTTCGTGGGCACGAAGGCGGTGGTGAAGACGTTCTCGGGAGACTCGTTGTTGCAGCCGATGGGGCAGAGCTTGACTGGTTCCTTGCTGAAGCAGACGGCCGGCTTGTTGGCCAGGTAGACCATCTCGGGCAGGGCGTACAGATCTTCCTTAGTCAGCTTGCAGGCTGCAAACAAGGCATCAAAACACAATCTTTTGAGTTACAGAGACAACTTTGGAGTTACTCGCTCCAATCTCAACCATATCTTAAACTGATTGAAAAGGCTGATGCGAAAAATGAAAAGATTTAAAAGTCATGTTTTTTTTAAGAGTTTAAAAACGGGTTTTCCTAAGAATAAAATCACTGGAGCGTTCAATGATCTGTTGTTAGGACAACGTTGACAGTACATACTAATTCCTAAATTACAACTGTGGATAATAAAGGATCAGTGATAAATTAGAATATGTCTTAATTTGTTAGTTGGCACTGCCAAAAACTTCATTGTGATAAATAACATTTACATGAAGGATGTTCAATTGGAAGACAATCTTGAGAAAGGTTCTCATTAGGATTGAATCGTTGAATTGGAAGCAAAAATCTGAGAGAACTCGACTTCGGAACACAGACCCATCAAAAACATGTTTTAAACCCTTTTGAACACAGACCGATAAAAAAACAACGTTTAAAACCTTACGAACACCGAGAGTGAGGTTGTGTTTTCTTTTAAAGGCCAGTTAACAAACAAACGGAGAAATCAGAAGCAACACAGTATCTAGAAGTCAGGGACCCAGTCCAAGATGGCTCCCAACTACTCACTGTGGTCCGTGCAGTCATCACCCTGTACCAGCCAGCTGGCACCGAACTTTGTGCTGTTCTTCACCTCCTCTCCCTTGGTGTTCTTCATGTCCAAGAAGGTCTCGCCGTTGAAGTCACCGCAAAGACCTGGGGTGCAACAAACCAAGAATTGTTTTCTTAAATATTAATCATAAACTTACAATGGATAAAAGGTCAGAGCCTAAGTAATGTTTTTCTGTCTCTCATTCTGACTACAACTGTTCTGTCATAAACAAAATTGGATTTCTATTTTATTTTGTTTGGGGTGTGCACTTTTTTTAAGTTGTCCGAGGCAAGATAAGTTCTCAAAAGTTGCACTGCGTTGTTATCATTAACTTATTTTAAAGGGAAGATTTTCATATTTCCATTATCAAATCTTGACCACATTTTTCATTTAGCTAGTAAGTGGAATATTGCAATAAATGTAAATCAAAAAATCACACCATTTAAAGTTAGACAAACAATATTTGTTTATCTTGTCCAAGTGAGACTGACAAGACATTTTTACTTTTTGAGTGCGTAATAACCGTCATTAGGCAGAATTACAACGATGCGCTACAACTATCAAGTTAAAGGAAAATACAACATTTGCAAACATCAAAAAATAAAACTACCAAATCATTTTGAAATACCTTGCTGGACTGTTAGTGAATGACAGTGTAAAGCATCCTGTAAAATCATGGCACCTGGTATACTGTCATTTTCAAGAAAAGTGGTATTTTTGTATCAATTTCCAACGCTGATCGGCCGACCAGCGTTGGAAAAAACTGGCTTTTTTTTTCAAATACTGGCCCCAATAGACCATCGCACTTGTTTGCAATCGATTACACACCTATGAACGGGTACAAGCCAGCTAGACTGGTTCCCTGACCTTACAATTCCCCAATGTATGTAAACTGCTCTGTTTCTTCTTATATGGAGTCAGGGAACCAGACTACAGGAAAATGATTGTTTTTCTTGGTTTTTATAGTATTTTCGAACCCAAAACCTCAAAAAAGTCAGTGTAACTATAGTTGCTATATATTTCCAACCCCCCAATTCCATCCATTTCTGAAAATTACAGCAAAAGCAAATGATGTATATTCCCTTTAATATACAAGCTCTAATGGATGCTATTTTGAGCTAATTGACTGGCTCACTATATGCAAACAGAACAAGAAAAAAACGATTACTCTGAAAGAATTAGATGAATTGAAAACAGACGGAAAAATGTACTCACCGCAGGTCTTGTTGACGTACCACGGTGACAGGTAGGTGGTGACGTTGTGCTTGCAGTAGACGACGGTCAGTCCGATGGTGGTCTTCATGGTGATGTGTGTGCGGTTGCGCTCGATGGTTCCGACCGCGGTCTCCAGCGGGGAGGAGTCGTGGTGGGTCATTTCCTCCATGCCATTGTACTGAAGTGTGCGAAGGGAGAACAAGAGGGTGTGTGAAACCAACTAGCCTTGAAGACTATGGCAGCGGCTTCATTAACCCTTTCATACCCACATTGTTTATTGACTTGGCTCTCCCCAGGACCAAATTGTTTGCCCAGTCATGCGGAAATCACTAGAGCGTGAACAAAATGACCACAAGTCCAAAACTCACTTTTTTCAAACCAGATTTTCACTGCCAAGAAGTGATTTAAATCATAGGTGTTGTGTGTAAAGTTTGTTCATTGAACCTTACTCTTTTATCGGATGTAAAAATGAAGTCCATATGTGTAAATATAAGAAAGTTATGCCTGTTTGTTCATCCGGTTCCATTTATCAAACTGCAAGCCATTTCACCACATGACCAAATGGCACTCCATACCTCAATTTGTGAGTGGATACTTCTCAAGCACTTTTCTCATTTTTTTTGTAATGGCAACACTATGAATAAATTACACCATTAGAACGATCTGAAAACACTCTTTCAGCTGGTATATGGTTGATGTATGGGTGGGCAAACATATCAACATGCCGCTTTTCTGAAAAGTAGTGAATATATCTGTGTTGAGGGTGTTCTGTGTGTGGTTTCCTGGTAGACTAAAGTCGCCCATGCGAACCAGCAGGGGGGTTCTTCTTGTCGACAAAAGTCGCCCATGGTAAGGAAAGGGTTAATACAGTATTCGTAGAACGAGAATGTTGACGAGGTTTGGGAGATGATATTGTTAGTGTCAATCCCATCAACTCGTCTGGAAAGGAGTTCCTGAGTTGTACAGGTAAAGGTAGAAAAAGCCCGGTCTCCAAAGTTATACCAGTTGAGTTTTGGAAATAATATCTGTGTTGAGAATTCGCACAGATATGTATTTTTCACTAGTCAATCGCAAGTCAAGCACAAGTAAATGAGGGATGCACAGTGTAAATGAAATGGTTCGGTCACAGTTTATTTGACTTGTGACTGGCTTGTGATTGACTTGTGATTGACTTGTGATTGACTTCTGATTGACTTGCAATTGTCTTGTGATGATCTTGTGATTGTCTTGTGATTGACTTTTAATTACCTTGTGATTGACTTCTGATTGACTTGCGATTGAACTGCAATTGACTTGTGACTGACTTGTGATTAAATTTGCAACTGATTTGAGATTGACTTGTGATGAATTGTAGTTGAATTCTGATCAACTTGTGTTTGACTTGTGAAAGTCTTGTGATTGACTTGTGACTGACTTGTGATTGTCTTGTGATCACTTGTGATTGACTTATGATGACCTCATTATAACTCTTACCTTGACGTAGACCTCGCCCTCGTTCTGGGTGATGAGCTCCACCTTGTGGTTGTCAATGAAGACGGTGACGGTGGGGTTGGTGCGGACCATCTGGTTGGACTGGCGCGTGTTCTGGACCAGCACGGTGAAGCGCTGCTCGGGAGAGCAATCCTTGGTCAGGACATGGGGGCAGCTGCCGGTCAGGTTGTACTTGAAGGGAACCTGGTCGTAGGTCATGAACTTGCCGGTGTGGTTGTATGTGCAGTTGCCTGTATAGGGGATTGGAATAGCAAATGGAACATGAACTCAAAGGTATCTGTATCTGCATCTGCATTTGCATCATTATAGTCGGTAAAGCATCCCAGAGGAAACATCACACCAACTTAGAGAGAAGACAATGAGAAGAAATGACAGTTTTAGAGGTGGGAGGAAAAATCCTTAAGATTTTCTGGGGAATTCCACAGAATCAAGTAGGGACTGAAAACCCAATCCACATATTGACCCAGGCGGGATTCGAACTCAGGTCACAATGGTGGAAGGCGAGAAAAGTACCATTACGCCAACCTGACTCCCCTAAAGGCTTATAGGATCATTTGCATGTATCCCTAAAGTAACCCACCAAGTCATCATCAGAAACCTTTATACTTGGATTGAAGATCGTACTGGTGCTGAACACCAACCACTGGATGCACATTGTTTGTGCAAAAAGGCCACATACAGCCGTGTACATTTCGAGTACGAATTCCATTTGCGACTTGACAAATTGATACAAGACAGCCCGACTGGGTCAAACGTACCAGACAGGTACTTCTCGGTCAGGCGCCTCTGGATGGTGTTCACGGCATCAGGAATGTTGCGGTTCAGCACGGAGGTGTTGACGGGAACCGTCACGTTGACCAGGGTGATCTTCTCAATGGGCAGGTGGATCTCAATGTCCATGGTGAAGTTGGTCTTGATCTGAACAAAGATAAAAAACCAAAGAAATCAACAATTATAAACAACTTGGAATAATGAGTTATTCATTTTGGGTTCAATACCTTTCGGGGTCGTAGTCAAGCTCTCACGGATCAATCATTCTCAAGACAGGACAAAAGGTATTGAAATGATCTGTGACAGAAGGTATTCTGTTGTCATTGCTCATCCGCTATAACTTATGACCATACTTATGACTTTCTTGAACTGATTTGTGTATTTGACGTATTTGACATATTTGACGTATTTGACGTATTTGACATATTTGATGTATTTGACATATTTGATGTATTTGACATATTTGACATATTTGATGTTTTGACATATTTGACGAATTTGACTTAAGACTGATATCTTTTGCACACCAAATTTGATGGCCAACTTACTTTCAGGATTACAAAAACAAACCTCTTCCCGACTCACATAATCTCCCCTTTGCAGCAAAAACTCTTTGCGTGACAAATTATTGACTGAAGATCAAACATGTATGACACACGAAACACAAATGTTTGATTTCAAAGTTGAAATAAAGAGGCTTACCTTGAGGGAGACAGTGGTTGAGTTGACCATGGGGTTCATCATTGGCTCCACGATGAAGTCGGTGTCTGTCGTCTTCTTAACGGTCTCCAGCACGATGGGCAGGACATAGGTCTTGGTCAGCCAGGTCACCTAGAACCAAACATTAAATGATATTCTTTTTCAGGTTGGCGTTCTAGAGTTACACCTAACTAATTTGTCCAAAGATTTGAACTGAGAATGTGAAGAGATCGACACTCAATTACACACTTAGGAAGCAACCACGTCAAAAGATCGACTTCTGCCATCAGAACCACTCCAGCGTCTAGTCAATAAGGGAATAAATACGTTTAAAACCGTCTAGGGGCTTGGATGCTGATGAAGGGAAAGAAGACATTAAGGAATAAGGATGCTTACATTCTTGACCCACGATGGCACCTCAGCCCAGTAGATGGTGATGTTGCGGGTGTTGTTCCAGGTCCAGCTCTGGCTGTTGATCTTCCAGAAGTACTCGCGGTGGAACGTCTTTTCGGTGTTGTTGATCATCTGGGTGTAAGTACGCGGGTAGCCCCACTTGGCCTCTACGTCAACTTCCTGAGAAAAAAAAACAATTTAAAAAAGAAAACAGAAAATGAAATTAGTTTCCAGCAGGGTAGACTTCCAGTAGTAGACCCTCCCTTCCTATGCAATGAAATTTGAAATTTAGCTCGCGCAGTTTTTATTTCCCGCCATTTTTGTTAAAACTTGGTCCCTTCTGCACTACGCTATGAAAATTGCTGTTGATAACCAGCTATAAATCGTGGCGCGACCAGCTGCGGCAAGCTGGTCCTGAATAGTCAACTAGACTAGTCCAACCATCCTCAACCAGCGCGCGTTCGATCAGAGTTGGTCGAACTATGGTCAACTATGGTCTCTGAACAAACTTGCTCAGGATTTTAGAATCCTGCGACTAGTACCCAGTGCAAAGGGCTTGCGCATAAACTTGTCAGCAACTCGTCCTGGATAAAGAATGAGATGACGCCTTACCCCACCCTCCTTGTTGATGGCGGTGATCTCGCTGTGCCAGGTCGGGTGCTGGTTGTCGGTGGTCTGGATGGTGATCCTCTTGTTGGGGTGGTTGACGCGGACGCTGAAGGTGGTGATGTTCTCGTACTCGGTCAGGTCGCGCTTGATGCCGGTGGTGGTCATGATGAGGTCAACATTCTACAAAACCGGAGCAATACAATGATCAATTACGACTGAAGTATTTGAGTCTGGTTCCCAGACTGTAATTTCTTATTTTTGGCAAAGAAATCGCAAGGTGCCAAACTGGTGCGACCTCAGTAACGGCGTCTTATTGTGGTCAGCAGATTAGTCTAATAATCAGACGGAGGAATAGTCCTCTTACCTTCTCGGTCTCCCAGCTCGCGGGGTTCTTGACGTGGTACATGAACTTGATCATCTTGGGCGCCCAGAAGGTCTTGTTGTTGTAGATGGACAGCCAGCTGGGTCCGGTAAGGGGATGGTACGGGGAGGTCGGCTGGCCCAGACGCGGGGTAAAGGTCACGTTCATGCACACCTTGGTGTCGTTGATGGGCTCCACGCAGAAGACCTTCTGCAAGGAGGAAAAACGGTGACCAAAAAAAAAAAAAAGGAAACGTTGCTAAAAAAATTTCAACACTGTATCTGTATTCTAACATTCAATCCATTTATTTCTACTGATGGCACTGATTTGAGAACTGCAGGGGCCAAGTTCACAGAATATATTACTAAGCAAATTTGTGTGCTTAGCGTTTATTGGCAGAATACCAGTCAATAAGCAATATACACGCTATAAGAGTTTGACTGGTTACCTGTTTTGACTCAATCTAAAAAACTGCAATCGTAACCGCAAACAAGCTTATGTGGAAATAGCTGAAACTGAATTGCAAGAAAAATGTCCATATACCTTGCCTCCTGTTAAAAGTCTCGTACGGAGTATTTAGGAGAAGAACGAACCAAATATTAAAAAAAATGAAAAATACCTGGACTGGCTTCCTGTTGGTTAGGGTGGTGTTGAGAATGGTCTGGTTCTCCATCTCGTCCTTCCTCTGCCAGAAAGTGTACAGCTTGTGACTGAGGGAGAAAACGGGTTGAGAGATAAGTTAGAGAGCCTCCTGAGTGCATCATTTAGTAAGGTATTCATCTGAATTCTCCCTACCTCATTTAGTATAAAGGTGTTGATCTGAATTCTCCCTACCTCATCAATTTATTGTTTGTAAAAAATTCAGTATTTTGTACATCTTATGACTAAGCGAGAAGAAGGGTTCAGAGATAAGTGAGAGAGCGATCCTCGGTGCATCGTATAATAAGGAATTGATCTGAATTCTTCCTTAGGCCAAAAAAAAAAAGTCTCCGGTTTCTGGTATGGAGCTTGCCCCAAAAGTGGTGCGGCGACGCGGCTTTTTTTTTTTTTTACCTGTTTTTTTTGTTTTTTTTGGCTTCAAATGTCGGCTGATGACTGCAAATGGTGCCCGACTAAACTTAGTGCAAATATATGGGAGTCCATAGAGGCCACATAAAGCTTATTCTCGATCATAACCCCATCTAAAAACACGTTAAAATTGTGCAGCAGCAGAATTCCAGTCAAACCAGTGAGTTTGGCGGTTTTGAGACATCATCTTGTATTGAAAAAAAAACTTTTTCATTTTGCCGACGCGCATGGCTACGGCGACGCGCGCGCATACCAGAAACCGGAGACTTTTTTTTTTTGGCCTTATCTCTAAAGTTTACATGTTGAAAGAGTTTAGTGTTTGACAGTCACGTCACTGACCTAGAGAGAAAATATGTTCCACGCAGAAATTCTCTTTAGTTGAGCGCCCCTCTGGTGAAACAACATTTTGCAAATGCAGTGAGGAGAATTTACTGTCATTACCCCAACTTCCAAAAAAAAGGTCTACAAGAGATCTCTGTCTCAAGTTCATTTGATATTTCGAAGTGATTAGACCCACAAAGGATCTACCTGATTAAACAAGGAACCAGTTTGGTGTATACTCACGTGAAGTTCAGGAAGGTCAAGTTCCTCTCGATCTGAGGGAAGAGCACCTCGTACTTCTTCTTGGTGAAGTCAATGCTGACGTTGGTGTGGACGGGCAGGGTGACGTTGAAGGTGGTGTTCATGGCCGAGCCAAACTTGATCTGGGGGATGTGGCAGCCCATCTTGAAGACGGCGTTAACGACAACCCTGGTGGGAGGAGGGAGATGGAGGAAGGGAAGAGGGGTCAAAAATGTGTCTCGTAACAAAACCGAAGAAACAGAGGTTGCTGAATGCTTGAACATAGGAAAATGGATTTACAACAGCTTTTCGAGTGCGTTAAGTGGAGATTTGACTTGCTGAACTCAACAGGGGCATTTTACTTTCCTTGAGCTGCAAAGCGAAAGTTATGATGCCAAACTCGGAGATGAGGCCAAGGTTTCCAAAACACCCTGCATGTTCCACATTAGGGTTTAAAAACCCATACAACTGGAGCAAAACCCTACGCTGGAGACGAAGGCAAGAATTGAGAAAAGGCATATGATTTTTTGAAACCTTGACCTTATTTCCAGCTTTGGCTCCACACCAGGCCTAGGATGCACATGAGACTATAGCCTAAAGCTGAAACTGGAGAAGATGGCAACTTTAGAAACTCTATCCCGACTGAAGCCAAATCTGGAGGAGAAAAGCGAATGCTTTTCTTGAAACCTCGACTTCGTATCTCCAGCTCTGGCTTCACACAAGGGACCTACATGAGACTAGAGCTATAGAAGGCGAACCGGGGATTAAACCAAGGTTTGGAAAAACATTTTGAGATCGAGAGGCTCCTTACTCTGGGGTGATGTTGAAGCTTCCAGTCAGGGTCTCCTGGCTGAGCAAGAGGGATGGGTGGGCCTGGACGGTGGCGTTGATCTTGACCCTCAGAATGCTGGCCACGGTGGTGTTGTAAGACAGGGGCAGACCCATGATGGTCGGGTGCTGGAACATGTAGTCCATCAGAACCATGCCTGGGGTGCGCAAGGAACAAGACAACTTAGGAGAAGTTACACAAATGCGAGTGGCATGATGAAACGACACAGACACAAAATTTAACGTTTGCATTTTTTAAGCCATATTTCACATCAACAATGTACAATTTGAAGTAGGCCCAGACGAACATTCCATTTACGCAATGGCCAAAATCTGTCAACACATTTCTTTGGCCTTATTTTTTATGTGGAAAAGTTGGCAACTTTGCTCTGTTCACGTGAGTCCTGCAATTCTCACTCATGATTCTTTGCAAACTGAGATCATCAGCAGAGGGCCATGGGCCTTATTCACGAGTCGGCCATATTGGATTGAGAGTGAGGTAAAATCTTGATTTTTGGAACTTGTGTAGAGAAATGAAAGCAAGTTAATTACTAATTCATTCCAGTCTGCTTCAATGAATAATTTCAAATTTGTAATTAAACGTTCCCTAATGTTTAAAGCCAGATTTAAAACAGAAATGACAGTAAAATAAGGCCACATTGTGCCTGCATAAATAGTCTGGCGCCATCCCATTGAATAGTTAACAATTAATGAAATACATTCAGGGAACTCGACAAAAATGGCCAACTCGTGAATAAGGCCCATTAGAATCTGTACCATATTGTATTAAATTGTATTTGCTCTGTGAAAATACTGTGCTGGGGTGGTTTTTGGGGCGGTACAGGGATTAATGGCTACATTCAAATTTTGAGGACAAAAAAAACATTTGCTGGACGAAAAAAAAGTGGAGACCCGTCTCACCCTTGGTGGTGTTGAACATCTGCTTCTTGGCCAGCTCCTCATCCAGGCTGGTCCAGTCGGTCAAGAACTTGCCCTCCTTGATCAGGGTGGTCAGGTAGTCCTTGTTGACGTCCATGTCCAAGACGCGGTTGCCCATCATCTTGACGTAGACCCTCAGGCGCGGGTCCTCGGGGGTAACTTCGTATGGATTCACCTAGACCAAAATAAAAGCTGGGATTTAGTGAAAGGCGTGAGCGGGAGTGTGGACTCGCAGTTACGGTTTGAATGCAGCTGCTGGCAGTATGTTGTGTCCTTGGGCAAGACACTTTACTCCCACTTGCTTACCTGCGATTGACTGCCATCCGTAACAATCTACTAATCATTTACACATTTATATTGCGCAAATTCCATATGAATATGATCAAACGCGCATGACATCCGTACTAGTCCTTTGAGCAAACTTTCCGTTCTGAGCTAACGAGCAGATAAAAGTCAGGTAGCACTTAAATGACAAACTAAAGAATAAAATGTGTATGAGCTTTCGTAGCTACAACTACTTTATAAGATGCAACGAAGAAGGGCATCATGCACATTGTATTCTCTATATTTAGTTAGTCATTTAAGTGCCACCTGACTTTTAGTTGATTTTGTGTGACTAACACAGCTGCCCACCACTTTTAGCTCAGGAGGTAATTTTTCAGATAATTGCAAATGTTCCTAGCTACGCAAATCAAACTTGCCTCACATCACACTCACGAAGAGCATAATAAATCGGCCAAAACTTGGCAGGAGAGAGTGGGTTTTACCTTCTCGTTGATCTTGTTCAGCTCCTCCTCGTTGTTGCTGCTGGATCGCCTCTTCCTCTTGCTCTCCTTCAGGAGGTCAAAGATGCTCTTGCGGTTGTAGAAGTGTCCCTCATGACCGAACATCTTCTCAAGGAGGTTGGTCATGCCACTGGTCCTCACCTCAACCTAAGACATCAGATGATAAGTAGGAAGATGTTTAACCTTAGAGACCTTTTATTGAACTTTCACAAGTTGTAAATATACTTTTAAAAACGAACAAATGACCGATAGACGAAACAATCTTTTGTACACTCCACTTAAACGTTTAGGAGTGAATTTCTACTGTAGGTGAGGTTGACATGATTTGAAAATACCTCCAAAATCTTTATTTCTTGTAAGTTCCAAATAACCATTGTCTTCATGGGAAAAAAGAATGAAGTAACTTAACTGACACCAGCACTCAACAGATACACAAATGGAGCTACCCTAACGCTAATCCTTTTACTAACTTAGACTCTGACCCTCGTTTACAGAATTTGGACTTGTTGAACTACACTGACTCGGACTGAATTTTCAAGCTGCTTAAAGACTTGTTAAAGAGGCAACGCCTTGATTGTACTCACTTCCACGATGCCGGTCTTCTTGCCGAACGTGTCGACCTCCAGTCCGACGTTGGTCCTGCTTGGTGTCAGCTCGCCCTCAGAGAAAATGGTCCGGGTCTGAATATTGGCTCCAAGCTTGGTCTCATCTGATGACAAGAAAATAGAGTTGAAAAAGATTTGTATCAATATGCTCTTCTCTTGTTTATCAAAAAGCACAATTCTGCGCAGCGGTGTAGTCGAGTCCATCACAAGTCCTCACAAGTCCATCCCAAGTCCATCCCAAGTCCATCCCAAGTCCATCCCAAGTCCATCCCAAGTCCATCACAAGTCCATCACAAGTCCATCACAAGTCCATCACAAGTCCATCACAAGTCCATCACAAGTCCATCACAAGTCCATCACAAGTCCATCCCAAGTCCATCACAAGTCCATCACAAGTCTCTAGTCATGTCACAAGCTATTCAAATGACCTGTGACAAAAGCATTCCTTTGTTACCGTTCGTCACCTATCTCTTGTGACTGGGCTTGCAAAAGCCTTGTGATTTGCTTCCGACCCGGCTTGTGATGGACTTGTGTGGGACTCAAACACAACCATTTCTCGGAGAAAGACTTGATATAATTTTCTGACCACTTGATACTTACGGTCGTAGGTGCCCACAATGCGGACCTTGGAGTAGGTTGGTCCACGGTTGAAAGGCTTGGTGAAGACAAGGGCATAATGGGCAGCGATGGCTCTGTTTGAGAATGTAATATTAAGGTATTTCGTTTTGGTAAGTATTCTTGGAGTAGTTGGTCTGTGTGAGTCGACGCAGATTTTTTTTTTTGAACTGTGATCTACAAAGGGGTAGCCACTGCTTAGTGAAATTGTACAAAAGTACTTGTGATGAAATTATTCTCCTTGATTAAATAAATTACCCAATTGGTCACAATAAGTGAATTCTGGACAACTTGTGAAACCAGACAAAAGTTGAAAAATTCTTGCTTAAATCTTTGGAAATTGATGATAAATTCACCCCTGAAACTGTATTTAATCTTTTGTGCACAATTTGCATAGTTTTTTTTTAAACACATAACTCCCTGTGCTGCCCCAAACTGCCCTACCTGTTACTCCCTGTACCGCCCAAAACCGTTCAAGCACTCTCTATGGTTTCATGAATTCATCAGGAAATAGAAAATGTAGTGACCAAAATTTTTTTTTTTTTAATTCAGAGGTTTGCAGACACCCCACAAAATTAAATAGGATGGGTTTTTTTGATAGAATAAAACATACAAGTTAAATGTATTAAGATAAAAAAAAATCAAATGTGTTGAAGAGCACGGGGAATGCAATAAAAAGGACTTACTTGTCCTTCTCGCAGGGCTCGACGTTCTCAGACAACATCTTGAGGTGGGAGTAGATGAAGCTGCGGACCTGCTGGGACTTCTCATGGTTCAGCTCCTGGCCAATCAGGGTGAAGACGGAGGGGCGCTTGGTGGTCAGGGTGGTGACCAGGTAGGCGGTGATGCGGAGTTCGGAGTCCTCATAGGGGTTGCGCAGGAGGGGCAGGGTCACGGACAGAACCTGAGAATAGAGGCGGGGGAAGGATTTGTAAACAACATTTTTTTCCCGTTTAAAGATGTACTGTCTGTTCCATTTTTCTGGTCTCAACCTGAAAACTTTTAATTTCTGTGGGGTGCTGTGGTCCAATGGTTACGGTGTTCGACTGGTACATGGGTTCAAAGCCTGACCGTGGGAACATCGTGCTTGTGCTCTTGAGCAAGGCATTCTACCATTATTGCTTCGCCCATCGGATGGGGCGCAAAGCCGCAGGTCCCGTGTATTGTGTAATGCACGTTCAAGAACCTAGTAACACTTATCCCTAAGAGAAGGAGGCGCCATGGTCTATTATATAGACCACATTCGAACCTGCAACCTCTAGAAAGAGCAATAGGTATACAAAAGGTGGGCTCTTGCATTTGTGGAATAAAAGCCAGCACCGCCCAGAGCAGCACTAAGCTCCTAGAAGCTGCAACTCTTAGAATCCCTACCTTGTTGGGGATGGTCCTCATCCTCCTCATGGCCGAGCAGGCGGCAATTCTGACATCCCGGGTCTGGTTGGTGAAGGTCTGCTCAAGGATCGGCTGGACGTAGGTGATGTGGTCCGGCAGGCCGGCCTGGCCGATGGCGATCAGGCACATCTCGCGCACCTTGGTCTTGATGGTGGTCTCCAGGAGGGTCTGGGCTTCCTCCATCGTCAGGTAGTCGCCCACTTCCTTGCTGATCCGGTTGGCCACCGTCTACAGAGGGTGACAAACCACGCTATTCGGTTCGGGTATGTCTCACAAAGCTTAGACTATGATAATTCATGAGGCTTGCTTCCGCGGTACAGCATCGGGAAATTGGTTCAATGCCTGTACCACAGTCGACATTAAGGCAAATATTAAGGTAATGCAACTCTTACTTTTAGACTAATTATAGCAATACTTGTGCGCCAATTCATGGATAAGTGATACCGTGTTAGTAATGAGAAACATTTTAAGATTCAATTCTTTTGTCAGAATCGAACGAAATTGAAAATTAACAATAAAAACCGGCTTATTCAAAAGATTTTCAGGATTATTTTGAAATTTCCGGACATTGTTTCCAGATGGTGAGCATTGAAAATCACATTGGTTTAAATAGTCAGTCCTTTTTGCCTGACATGTTTTGTAGGAAAAACCTTTATTCTTTTTAATTTTGCACAGGAAAAGTCTGGGGGAAACTAAGCCAATGCCCAACTCTTGATATTTTGACAAGCACTTTTTTTGGTGTACAAAAACAACTCGGGGTTAATCACAAATTGATTGCATAACAAGTCGCAAGTAACAGAGTATGAAGGTCTGTAAAGGAATGCCTTTGTGAGAATTTGTTTGAAAAGCTTGTCAATGGGCGTGAGACTAGATGAGCTGCAATTGACTTGTGACTTGACTTTTAATAAAGCAAGTTCTCTATGCGCTGACCTGCTTGTAGACCGTTGGGTCCCACTCAGTCAGAGAAACGCTCTCCGAGAACTTCTTCTCGCAGACGGTCAGGGTATGGACGAGGCTCGGCGAGACAAACTTGTTCATCTTCTTGAGAGCGTGGATCTGGATGCCCAGGGAGCGGTAGCAGGAGTGGCGCATGCGGACCAGGTGGTAGACGTAGGTGGTGTTGACCTTGGTGTTGTGGTGCCATTGGAGGACCTTGTGCTCGCAGATGTCCTGCAAAGAAAAAGTACCAAAACAAAAATGAATTATCTTGTTGATAGCACACTCTACTAGGAAGCTGCATCATCGTTACTTATATGTAACGAATCATCGTTACTTATATGTAACGATGATCAAGCATGCAAGTGGGAATTAAGAAAAAACGAGGAAGATCCAAAACAAACTAGAGTTTGTACAATGTTTTTCAAAGACTCAGACTGAACTTTAATCTTTCTCTAAGATTTGAATTTATGTTGACGTTTGAATAATTAGGAGAGATTACACCTGTCGAAGTAAGAGATCAACTGTTTGCAGCCAACTTGAGTTGCTCGCTACTCATTTCTGTTCGGTGTGACACTGGAACCTCAGTCTGAAAATGATTAAGACCAACATACCCGGAGGGTTTCAACGGTCTTCTCGGTGGGCTGCCTGATGAAGCCAATCCTCTGCAGGATGGTGATCTTCTCCTCGGTGGTCAGGAGGGTCTCCTCGGAGGTGATGAGCTCCTTGATGAGTTGGGTCATCTCCTCCTGGTTGACGAAGGGGATGGCCTCAATCAGCCACTTCCTGAACGAGAGAAAGAAAGGGGGGGAAGGTAACATGGTTTGTCAATTTCAACAATACTAGAAATCTTTCAGTGTTGGATCCACAATAGTTCAAAGGGCAGTGGCTGAAGTTTTTTAAATTCCAGGATTTCAAAGAAGGCATGCTGAGGTGTTGTGGTGAACACTGAAATGGAACGCAGGCCTGAAGCAAAGACTTGAGTTTTGCAATATTGTATGATGTTATTTCAGGGATCTTGAGGAAATGTGGAATTTGTCCCTGCATATATCATTTTTAATATGTAAATAATTAACACTGCATCAGAGAGAAGGGGAAGGGTTGCCAGTGAATGAGTTAATGAGCGAGTCACAGGGCAAAAGAAGGGAAAAGTTTCCACGCTTCAGTCCGCGCTTCTGCGAATTCAACATCAGTTGGTTTGAGATGGACTGTGACAGTGTCACTCAGTGACTCATTTGAGTCAGTTAGTGAGTAAGTGAGACGAGTTAATGAGTTAGTCACAAAGACAGGAACACACAGATACAGAGACAGGAACACACAGATACAGAGACACAACACATCACTTTTGGCAACTCAGTGAGTACAAACAAAAATGAGTTACTGAGCCATTTCAGCTGAGTCTGAGTCAGTGCTGGATTCTGAGAAAGACAGCTCAGCTGGATCTAAATGAGCTAGTAATACTGAGAAGGACAGCTGAGTGGAGTCTGAGTGAGTTCGAGAGTCTAAATATCAGTTAGACTTAGTGAGTCACCGAGTCTTTTACCTCTGCTCGGGCTTCTCCCGGACCATGTTCCACATGTCCTCCAGGGTGTTGTAGTCAGCCTCAGACAGGCTCTTGACCAAGAGGAGGAAGTGGCTCGGTGTGTCGATGGTGAAGGGCTTGATGGTCTGCTCCTCCAGCTTCTTCAGGAAGAAGTTGACCTGATGTGGGAAGGTGGGAGGGCGAAATGTCACAGGTCATGATGGGTTGAGAAGCAAAATTAAAACACAATTGGGCTTCTGAAACAACTGAGCCTTTGTAAAAAGTTAACTGCATATTGTCAACATGAGGATGAAGCACACAGGAGTAGCTCATTTTTTCAAGAATTTCTCTTTCTATTTTCTAGTAGTTTCCAGTTAAATCAAGCAAATTAATCTATTAATTGTCCAACAAAGTACTAGGCATAGAGTGGAAACCTCTCTTTAAACTGTGCAAAGCTATTTACCCAAGACTTAAACTTGAGTCTAGAATCATACAGGAAATAACCACTAAATCCTCAGGCGAATGTGCGTAAGCTTGGCGATTGTTGGCTTAGTCTACAACAATAGACCATTATCATGTTGCGGCCATCTTGATTTTTCCCATTCAAATCAACGTAACCAAAGCGAGGCTGGAAGAAAAAATAGTCTGGTTCCTTTTTGCCCAAAACTACTCATTCAGGTACTGTTATTGTATACCGGGAACATGACGAAAATGGTGGCAGCATGATAAAGGTCTATAGCATCTTCACTCCTGAATTCGGCGGTCAAAGCTCTTACCTTGTTGACGGTGTTCAGCATCTCCTCCTCAACCTTGACGATCTCGGGGAACTTGTAGGTCAGGCCGCCGCGGGACTCCTGGGTGGGGCACTTCTCGAAGTACGGATCGGTGGTCACGTTGATCAGCTGAAGGCTCTGGCTGTGGTGGGGGAGATGAGCAAAAAAGGCGACAATATAATGTCAAAGTCGGGCCGAGGAAAAGGTTAGGAATCTTTGCTAAATCTATTCATGCTTGACTGTTTGAATGCACGCCAGTCACTAACAAGTATGTGATATTTTGGTACAAGTTTGATCAAGAACTTCCGAATTGAAGGCACATTTGTTGACCTTGATTGACTCGTCCAGTCAACTTTTTTGGGACGAGCCTATTGAAGTTGGTCACACTACTGGATTCAGCAGCCGTAGGCATTGCAATGTCCACCAGGGAACCAGGACTGAATAAAGTTCCGCGATGAAATTTGACAATCGTTGAACGAGAGACGTTTCCACTTTAACATTAATGCACAGATACATCACACATCAGCCAAGTACTAGTCAACTGCCGCTCCTTGATCAAATTTGCTCTTGTTGGTCCAAGGTTCACGCTTTTTATGTTCAGACACTTTTCAAGAATTGCTTCAGCCGAACCAATTTGTACACTTTTTTTAAAAACTTTTTCACACTTTGCCACTTTTTTTTTAGAGATCAGTACATTTGAAAGCTTACTTGACTTGGACAGAGACAGATCCGCCCTTGATGCCCATGGGGAAGAAGACGTAGCGAGCATCTGAGCGGACACCGTTGATGATGTACCTCTGCCTGGTTCCGGTGATGTTGTACTTGAAGGTGGCGGTTGCCTCCATGGTATCCTTGTTCTGTTATCAAACCCCCAAAAAGCCACAAGTTATTTCATGTCTTGGCTATGACAGTGGACTTGATATGAGATTTAATAGGCCGTATCCTTCAGCGACATTGTTGTCTTGGGTTACACCTTAGCCATAGCCACAAAATAACTGATTCAAATGCAGTCTTAGCACCGGCTCTGTTGTCCTTGAGCAGGACACTTTTCCTCAATCAATTCTCTCCACCCAGGAGCAAATGGTTAGTTGTCACAGTGAACTATTTTGAACAGTGTCCAGGGTAAATTTGTGGCCGTGCATAATTCTCAGATGAAATTTCGTAAGATTTGTTTTGCTGAACCAGAGCTATTTTATATTTGTTCAAATTTGAGAAATGTGCAAAGCTCAAAATATATTTGCTAAGCAAAAGCAGGTCGCCGGCCAACATTTCATGTGGGGTACATTGCCTGTGACTGGTTTCCTGTAGCTTTTTGCTTATCACTATACTTTCTGCTTAGCTGAGCTCCGTGAAAATTGAGCCTATGTGCAGACCCAACCCCCACGGCAACCAAACTGTCTCTAGCCACTAACCTTGTCACAGGTTTCACAGTCCTGGCTTCTGAAGGTCCACAGCTTGTTGAAGGCAGTCTTGCTGCAGTTGGTCAGGTCCCGGACCTTGGTCACGTTCAGGATGGTCATCAGGTCCTCGTTGCGGGTCTCCTTGACGGTGTACAGGGTCTTGCAGGTGCCAGACACGCCCTCCTGTTGATGTGAAGGTAGGGAAAGATACGAGAGGTCATGTGAGGTCAAGCCAGGTCAGGTCAGGGGTCAACTTAAAATTTCTATAATGGAAAGTGCCCAAGAAAGTGCTCAATGCAAAGAATTATAACATGGAGTTTGACCAGATCCTGCAAAAGAAGTCTAAAGTACATGTTTTCTCTTTCGTAATTTTTCATACAACTTGTTATCTGAGATATCCTCAGTTTGACGTCATGATGAATTTGAATGTCATGCGAGTGAGAACATTGACAGCAGTTCGTATTGATATCTGACGTGTCAGTTTCTTACAAAAACCTGTAACCAGAAGTATCTCTGGAGAATTGTAACTCATTTTGTAGGTTCACAAAGCCATTTTGTAACTTTGAGTATGGATTTAGTTTCCTTAATTAGATGGAAATTAAAAGAATGCACGATGTCTCTAGGGGACGCCATTTTGAGCCGATACATCGGCTCACTGTATGCCAAAAGTTAAATATGATGAACAAATACACAGCATTCTCTGGAACAGGCTTGACTTTTGCTTTCGGGGAAAACTTACCTCATCGACTTCGTAGACGTTATCCCTCTCCATCTGGAGACTGATCATGTTCATGATACCCTTCTTGAGGTTGACGATCCATTCCTCCTCCGGCTTGTTGGCCCAAACAGTCTCGATCTGCAGATGGGTAAAAAGAAAAACAGGAACACACAATTATGTGACCATCATTATGAAGACTGTTTATCTTTTTCTGGTAAAGAAACCACGGATTCCATTTTGCAACAATGGCACTGTAACTAATTTGCCTTTAGAAGCCGGTAGGAGAGAAGATAATGACCACATGATCAATGCAGAGGTGGGGGGCAAATTTCTCAGGAAAATCTGGAAAATTTGGGCAGGGACTGAAAAACTAATCACGAAATCAATCTGGGTGCAATTTGACCCTGGGTCATAAAAATGGAAGCCGAGGAACGCACCACTGTGCTGACGCGACTCGCTCAGACACCAAAAGAAATGCCTCTGAGATCTTATCCTCAAACTTTGAGAAGACGAAATTCGCAGAATCCCAGATTGTTTTCATTTCACACTTGGATCTTTATTCAATCCAGCTTTTTTCGCAAAAATGTTTAAAAATTGAAACGATCCAACTAAATATTCTGACGAAACAAACTGAATAAAACTGGCCCTATTTGAACACAGAGGGCTCACTTTTTTTTCACAACACCCAATCACAAACTTGTGTGAACTGTTAACAGAGTATCTCAAGTACCTGATAATGTTTGCATCAACAAGCTCATTAAAATTTGGCGGTAAGGTGCAAGGGTCCTGAGTTAGAGTGCTAATTTGAAGATGACAATGGGTCGTTAGTAATCTTTTATCAGTTTTAATGGGTTAATGAGAGTTTTATCTTGCGGCAGATATCAACTAGGTCTGTCCTTAAAGAGGGCGAGGCCGATTCCAAAACTCCATCTCCCAGGGTTTTAAAAAAGTACCTATAAGTAGATCGTGACAAACTTAAAAACAGATTATCAAGATCATGAAGTCCTCAAAATGTGACACGTATTTGCATTAGATAAATGTTGTTTGTCTTTACGTGCCAAACTCATGGAGCTGATAAGCGGCAAACTATTGCGCAACTAGTTTAAGTGCTGAGCGGAAATCTGCAGGGTACCAGTTAAACAAAATACACGCTGCATGATATTTTGGCTGGTAACCCAATTTTGCTCAGCAGACATTTTCTGTGCTTAGCGAAAACTGTACTCAGCAGCTTTTTCGAAAATTGTCTGTAACTCCCTTTTTTACCCACCATGTAGCTACTTTAAGCAGCCATTTTAAAGAATTTTTTTTTAAGAATCTGAAATTTTGGAAGCTTTTTTACCTTTCCCTGAGTGATTTGGAAGGAGACGTTGTACTTCAGGAGTTCTCTCAGTTCCTCAGTCACCTTGGTGGAGTTGACCATCCTCTCCGGCTTGTCGTGGGTTGCGTTGATCTCAAAGAGGGTCGGATCAACCAACTGAAGGAAGAAAGAAACAAAATTAACAGAAACTTTGACTTGAAATAATGATCTTACATAGTTCTTACATAGTAGTGAGATGTTTAACCACCGAATAGGTCTGAGGTTCACATTTAACACAACACTCAGAGGTAATTTTGATAGAATATAGTTGCCAAGGTTTCCAATTTTCCCCTTCCCACCCCTCCTCCACCCCTCCCCCACCCCTTCTATCACCCCATCTCTCCCCTTGTTGACTCACCCTCATATTCCAGAGGGTGGTGGTGAGCGGGTAGATCTCCACGATGCATTGCAGCCTCTGTCCCACCGTCTCGTTGTCGTTGGTGGTCTGGGGGAATCTGTTCCTGATGTCGGCCGTGTAGTTGTACCGGTGGGACTTGCCAAGCTCGAACTCGGTCGGGTACTTCTCCGCTGTTGAACAAGAAAAAATGAGGACAGGTGTATGTGTGTAATCAGGGTACTTGGCACACTATGGAAGCACAGCATTATTGGGAAAGTGAATAGTAAAGGAAAGGAAAAAGGAAAAACTGTGCATCTTCACATCCAGTTATCATTAGGGGACAAATAGCTAACTGATTTGAAGGTTTCAAGTCAAAGGAATATGCCACTAGTTTGTCTGCATGGTACACCTATTGGATTTTGGAGAATTCAGAAAAGTGTCTGATGAAAAATCCCTCAGCACAAGGGATTTTCAGTTGATCCATCGGGTAATTCATGATGAGCAAAATAAGATGATTAAATAAAATCAAGTGATGTTCGCTTCAATATCTCTGTGCATCTTCTTAAAATTTGTTTAAGTACAATCAATTCAAAGTCGGGGGATAATTATGATTACTACAACTTTTCTCGAAGAAAATCGAAGACAGGAATACTTACGAGTATTTCTGTGGATGGTTATACTCCTCTCCAGATCTGAAATTTCAATCAGGAGAAAACCAAAATGACTCTTAGATTGAAGCAGGAACACATTGTTAGATTTTTAATGACCAAATCCTTAAAAAAATTCAGCATAGATTTTTTTTCTCCGGAGCCGGTAAGAATTTGCCACACAAGAAACAACAAAACCTTTCATGGTCTATCCACTGTCATCAATGTCACTAATTAGGCCCCTCCCTCTCCCTGTCATTGGACTAGCCAACTGAGTTAATTTATTCATAATGAGTCCTATTGGACAGTTGTGTCAAATTTGCATAGTGTATTTAAATATTTCAAATTAGCATATTTCAAATAAGCATATGAAGAATTGACACCGTTGAAACACATTTAGCGAAATTTGGAAAACAAGTTTTTAAAAATTTGATAAAATTAAATTTATGCATACCATTGTTCTGGGTGATGGTCGTTGCGGCATCTAAATAAGCAAAGATACCAATAATTCGGAATTACTTACAATGTAAATTGGGAAATATGTTTTAATACAGTTTGATTACAAGAAAACATTAGCTGGTTCTACCAAACATCAAGTTTGTAACACATTTAATACCGGTAACATTGAATATAACAGTCAACATGATAAAACACCGCTGGTGTGTGCCTATTGCAAATATTTTGAGAGTCTACACGTACACTGACATTTGTTGTGAGCAGGTCAGAAAAAACGAAAATAACTTTAAAGTTTAATTGAAATCTTGTAAAACTATACACAAGCTTTTTTTTAGCAGAAAGAGGTTTGCTCTGAATATCCTGCAACTAATTTCTCAGTGAAATGAGGGCAGTATAACACCAGCTCCACAAAGTTAACTGCACCACACATAAATTCACTGTCAACTGCCCCATCAATATCTGATCAGCTCAAAGTCTTGGCACAGTGCCCATACTCTGGAACCATTTGTCCATGTTCAACCTCAGGGTACAAATACTTCACTGCCCGTGGTAAGAGCAGTTGATGTGGGAATCTTCAAATTGAAAATAGCTAGTTGCTAAATCGTCTGATGCACAACTACAAAATACAAGAAGCTTGATGACTGATAAAGGGGAATTTGAGGTACGTAACATAAAGTGGTAAACCTCAAATTTGAGATCTGATCCACTGATACAAACGTTAACCATGATTTCATATTTCTTTTCACAATGAGTGTATTGAGTCCTTAAGCATATTATCTTGATGAGAATGTGCATCTACACTAATATCATTTATTTTTTAAAATTTAAAAACACCATGTTTCATACTTCACAAAAGTTCTTGGTTCGCTAAATTACTTGTCTCTAAAGCTAATAACATCATTTGAGCAAAAATCTGTCTAGAATACAATTTATGAACATACAAAAGCTCCACTTTTATTCTAACTAAACAAGGCTGTTTTACAAACCAAATTGTTTACAAACTGAACTTTGACTGTGAAATTTAAATTCTAATACTAGAGACGAAAAACTATTTCAGAACAAGCAGGATTGCAGGAAAGTTTACTTACTTGCTAAGGCAATGCCTAGAAGGATGAGCAGCAGCTTCATGATTTCTTGTTCAATCCGTAGACAGATGAAAGATAAAGTGACTGTTCTATCTCCGTCTCTGGCCAAACCAAGAGCCCACCTCGGTTTTTATACACCTTCTTCGGCTTAATTTGCATACAATTGCTTTCTGAGTCCGACAGCAGAAGAAATCAGCACACACAAAAACAGCTACAAAGTACAAGAGCCACACTGGCACCAGCCGCGCTGTGATTGGTTCAAACTTTTGGCAGCTCTGCAAATCCGATTGGTCAGGGGAGTGTGGGCTGACCGCCCACTGCTGCCTTGCTGGCCTGTGATTGGTCAGGAAGTTTCTAGCATGCGCCGAGATAATGGACTTGTTGATGCCCTTGGAACAATCCATGAAGTGCAATAAACAACTCTGATCGTTTTTGATAATCTCTCCTTGAAAAAGTGACTGGTTAAACAAACACTTTGTGATCTTTGAGCTTCTTATTGCCAAGTATAAGTGTTTTTCCGAGCAGAATGCAGTGGGCAATCCGATCGTTACGGACATTACAGGCAGAGGCTACTCACAAATATGAAAAAAATTAATGAGATAAAAGCACCATACACGACCGTATAGGAACCTTTCTCTCTGCCTTAAAAAAAACAATAACACTTGCATTTTGCATGTGAAAACAAGATGCCAAAATGACTTCCTAAAATTCATAATTTTAGAGGGGAAAAGTTTTTGACAAAAAATATGCATTTTACCATATTCCATCTCACTGGCACACCACTCAAATGAAAGGCCTACAACATTCATTTGATACCACATTGGAGGTCGTGATGCTTGTAGTTCTGCAGATTGCATAAAAATTGTCCACTTTTCAGCCGTGTCCACTTTTGCATGGAATTGCCCATGTGCAACAGAAACAAGACCTGGCGATTTGTTAAAGCTACAGTCCATCATTTGCAGCTATCCAAAAAGTAAATGACGTAATTATTGTTGAAAAACATACTTGGTTGAAAGATAGTAAGGGGACTAAACTCGCTGCGAAATTATTCTTTCCGGCAAGCTGTCATTTTGAAGAAATCAACGAAAGAAGGCCTTTCCAACGGTGCATCTTGAGACGCACCATTGGAAATTTCCGCTGGTAGTTCGTTTTTTTATTCTGTGAAGCGCGCGGAAGCGTTGACACAACCCACACACGCGCGCCGTTGCTATCATTCGTCAGATCAGTGCGCGACAACACGTAGCTGCAATCGGCTCAATGAGAATGTGTCTCCGACACTGAATTCAGCCCAATTCAAAACATGATTAAGCAACTTTTGATTTGAAATCCAGATCCAAGAATGCTGGAAATATACAGCTGAAACTTCGTCAGGTTAGTTGTTCAGCACCCTTTCTTTAGATTTTTAGCATGTTTGTTGCTTCAAACGAACAAAATGCACAAATTACAAATGATTGTCTATACCTTTAAGTGACAGTTTGTTAGTTGCTGTAATGTTCAAGATAATTCAGTATTTCTCTTGCAATTCATCACTGTTCCTTTGATTTGATTAGCTTTGCTTCATGGGCGGATCTAGCTTTTAGGAAAAGGGGGGAGGTTGAAAGGGGGGGAGAGAGTAAGGGGGGGGAGAGAGTGAAGGCGTGCCAAGGGCAAGCCCTGCTGGGGGGGGGGGGGTCCTGGGGCATGGCCCTGGAAAATTTCTCCTACATTCAATTTGAGAACAAATGTAGGAACTTTAGCATTCCATTTATAAATTTTGGCCCCATGTTACTAAATTATCATTACATTAGTCAGCGGCTGTACAGGGGGGGGGGGGGGGGGGGGGGGGTTGCAACCCAACTTCCCCCCCCCCCCATCCACTACTGACGCTCAAGTATACTCGTTAACAGACAATATTCTAATGTAATCTCTGACTTGAGCATTGAGCTGGAAGGATAATCCACATCTTGGAGCATTTTTTAACATTGTGCACAACTTTTAATGTGCTGTTGTGTCAAGAAAAGATTAACTCAACTCATGCAAAAAGGATATTATAAAAAATATACATGTATATATATAAAAATAAAATGCCACATCTGTGTTCCGTCGCTGATATGGCCAGCTGTCAAAAACCAGTTTCCAACCAGTGACCGACATGTAGGCTATATTTTAATTCAAAGTTTCAAGCTGTTTTCTTCCTGTGAATATTTTTTGGGGAAGGCATGGAAGGGGAACAGATGTGGCGAATAATGCGTTGCATGTGCAAACGGTATTATATGGTGCCTTCTAGCATGGAAATTTAAACCCATTGGGTCAAGCCTTGCAATGCAATGCACGTGGCCAATGCTAAGACGATATAGGTTTGTCTTATAAAATTTGTCTTGCGTACTTCATACTGAGCCATTCATTACGCAAGAAGCAATTCGGTCATTCCTGATGAGCATTTTGATGGATGTGGTATTTTTGAAGGAGGAGAGAGCATGAACCTGAAGATTAATCTATACATGTAAGCTTCATCTTGAAGCACCAGTTTTGGCCAAAGGCCAAACCTTCACGAGACCCCATCTCAATGCCCACTAAAAACAAATATCACCAGTGGCACACCCATGATTTGGATTGGGGGGGGGGGGGGGGGCCGGGGCTCATAATTTGTTTTTTCTTCAAATTTTGTAGAAGTTAAATTTGTTTCAAAAACTTTTGCCCACAGTTTTTGGCCGCAGAAAAAAAATTGGTTTTTTTTTTTTTTCGGGGGTGGACTATTCTGACATTGGTTGCGCCACTTACACCCCTATTTACTACTCGAAAATAGGCCACATACATATCACCAAGGTCAAATCGTGGGACTACAAAAAAATTCCCCCCCCCCAAAAAAAAATTGACAACCTCTTGGGGAGGGGGTGGGCTCAACCCCCCCCCCCCCTACAAAACAGCAGATATGCCCTGTGTCCAAAGGCACTATTACCGTAACAATTTCCTATTTCAAATTCTAAACAATATTTGTTCTTCAGGTAAACAGATAAAAAAAAGTGGCAAAGCACCAAGCTAATGCTGCATTGTATTGAGGGAAAATAACAGCACTCGTTTGCATACAATATGACAACTGACCCACATGTCAAGCACTACAGATGTAACACACAATTGACTTTTGGTCTCATATGAGTGTTTTCATATTAGGTCATATTTTGGCTTATAACAATACAAGCTCAACAATGCCTTCAAAACAAACTTCCACTTCAGCTTCACAATGACTTCGGACTTTTGTAGAAATGATGATTGGTTTGTTTTGGATTTTTTTTCTACCACAAAAACTTATATCGCCATTTGAAGAGTTTCTTTTGAAAATGCGACATATCCATTTGAAAAAAAGCGAAAATTTTGCATGGTTACGAAACTTTGAAGTTTAACAGATGTTTCTAAACTTCATTTTTGCCTCATTGTATTCTTAAGTTGTGTTTAAATATATAACAGCTGTCAAAATTGTTTTGGGGAAGCGAGGAGAGAGCAGCTTTCTAGAAGGGAACAAAGTGACGTATATTGCATTTTTATTCATTTCCCTAATTCCATGTTCACCATTAGTTAAGTGCACAAAAATATTGTTTCAGTTTCGTCGCGTGGTCATAGTTGCAAACTGAAAATGACTGAATTCAAAAACTGCATTCTACATTTAAAGGTAATATGCAACATTTGCAAAAATCAAAAAACAACACTACCAAATTATTATGAAATAATACTTGACTGTAAGTGAATAATAGGCTCAAGCATCCTGCGAAATCATGGCACCTGGTGTGCTGTCATTTACAGAAAAGTGGCATTTTTGTATCAATTTCCAATGATGGTCAGCCGATCATCGTTAAAAAAAAAATTCACACACTGCCCCCAATTAATTTACCAAATTTTGTTAGTCTGCATTTAGCTTGCAATTGGTTACACACCCGTGAACGGGTGCAACCTGTTAAGTCTGGTTCCCTTACCTGACAATTCCCCGATGTCTATAAATTGCTCTGTTTCGTCTGAAGTAGGGTCAGGGAACCAGACTACAAGAACAGCATTTTTTTCTTGTTTTTTTTTTTCCAACATCAATGAACACAAAACTTTAAACAGGTCAGTGTGACAACCCCAAAATCCATCCATTTCTGAAAATTACAGCAAAAGCTATATGTATATTCCCTTTAAAGGGAATATACAACATTTGCAAACATCGAAAAATAAAACTACCAAGTTTTTACGAAATACCTTACTAGGATGTTGGTAAATGACAGTCTCAAGCATCTTGTAAAATTATGGCACCTGGTGTGAAGTCGTTTTCAAGAAAATGGTATTTTTGTAAACATTTCCAACGGTGGTCGGAAAGAGATACAAAAATTTCAGTGTAACAATATTTGATCTATTATACTAACCTCTCAAATAGTTCATTTCTGAAAATTACAGCAAAAGCCAATGATGTACATTCCCTTTAAACAGTTTTCCACTGCAGACACACATTTGTTCCATTTTCCATAAAATAAATATCATCGGCCCAAACTAAAAGTAAGGCTTTCAGAGAAATTCCAACACAAGACATTTCGTAATACTTTTTAACAGAGTATTCAAGGGTTATTATAGAGTTCTTGACACCAACCTTTAGTTTTATTGGCTCAAAACCATTTTTACATGTTCATTACACTGACAAAAACATAATGTAGTTTGTGCCTTGTGAGCAGATTTCTCTATCAGAAGAATTTTCTTTTTGTTACATAAGTTACAGGTTCAGAGATACAGAGGTGACGGCTGGAACTTTTATCTTCACACTAGGGAGCTCTTTTGATAACATTTCTGAACTTTGAAATTCTCCAATCAGATAAAACTCATTAATTTGGGAGGTTTAAACAGTGACCGACAGTTTTATACACAAAGTTGAATGGTATAAGCTTCAGTTTTGCTGACATTGTCTTTTTTTAAAGATTGAACAATGGGAAATAAAATGCATTTTTTTTTTTTTTTTTTTTGTAGTTGCCTTTTTTTTTTTTTTAAATAACCAGGTGCAACTTTTGTGACGATGAAAAGCTTTGAGCTTTTAGCCTTCTTTGCTGTACCAAGGGAATAAATGTGTGCTTGGTCAGTTTTAAACAGTACGTTTAAAACCGGCTAGGAGCCTGGACGTGGA